TTCCTGCTCAGCAGGCTTCATGGAATGCAACTGTGAATGGTAGAGCTTTAGTTGCATATTAGGTTTCCAGTATCCAAGTATTCTTTTTATATCATTCAGAACTCCATCTCCTGCAAAATATTTCAGGAACATCCTTGTAAAACTTCCTTCAGCTCATTATTGACTGTAAAGAGTATTGGAATGGTTTATTCCCTATTACAGTGGATAGCTGGGTGCAGCTGTCATCCTACAAAAAGATCACCCTGGTAACACCAATCAACAAGCAGAGTAAGATGATCCAAATATAACTGAAACCTTCTAAATGTTGTCTTTCAACTGAAATACAGAGGCATAACTTCATTGCAAACTTTGCCTGATGATGTGGGATCTGTGAAATCTATCATTAGACATTGTTATTCAGTGCTGAAAAGCCATTGATTTTCAGTTTTCTTTACATAGTGGAATCTGAGAAAGGGCCTACATGATAAGGGAGCTGTGAGAAGAAATAATTAAAATAAGTAATTAGTTCAGCATCGTTTGGGAAAAGTTATTGGGAAAAGAGAATCACCACGCAAAATTTCAAACATTAGATCCATCTTGCTGTCTTCAACTGCCACTGAACAATGACCAGTGCTAAAATTTATACCAGAATTTATTATAGTGGTAGGGGGAACTTCTGGATAGGAAGCCAGTTTATCCTTACAATTTTTTACAGTGTGTATGCTGCAAAGACATGCAACTGATACCACAGTTCAGCTCTGAGATCAGCACAAAAGTAGGTTTGCACTTGTCTCATACCTCGTAACCATAGCCACACAGAGGACAGGGCAGAAAATGTATTCTAGGCAGGAGCCAGTGCAAAAATGCAGCTGGTATTCCGTGATGTCATCTGCAAATCAACTCATAGGGAAAGGGATAGACAGAAGGTCTGAAGTAAGAAAGGCTACTACACACCTTACCTGAGAATGATATGTACGCCTGTAGCTCATGCCTGCAGTATTTGAATTCAGATGATCCATATTTCTGCTTACAATTCCTTCTAATACAGTCACATATAGACAAGCAACACAGCATTAGAAAACAGAACAAAACATGAAGAACAATGTTGGGAGGACTTGTCTTTTCAGCACCATCCATAGAGTGGTGACACAACAGTCATGCGAAACTGGTGAAATAGTGGATCACCTTTCAGTACATTTTCTCTGACTCAGTTCCTTAAAATCAAAACCGACTGAGATATGTCCAACACTATGTGTCAGTGGTTTCCAGTTACAGTCTACTGCACTCAATGCATTGCAGGTTTTGCAGCACTGAATGGGCATGTAGCTTAATTATAAAACAGCCCTGAATTCATTATTACCATATGTATATCCCCTAAACCAGAGAGCTAACTAGATACTTTTCATAGTTCTTAAAACAAAAATTAATTTGGATCTGTCTATTGTTTCTTTATTTCCATGGATAGATAATGATCATGTGTAATGCTTAATATACATGTAATACATGCTCTGAAACAGGTACTTTTCAAGTTTCATTTTAACTTGCTGTCAAAATATTTTCAGAAAAAATCTCTTCTGCCCACAGACCTCACAGCACATTGTGTCCTGAATCTCTGCAAATTCATGTCCACATCTAGGAGGCTTTGTAATTCCCGTATGCAACCAGGAAAGCTCACTGTCATATTACCTTAGTGTGAAATATGATTGATTCGTTGCTCTTTGCTGCTTTGTCTTAGTAACTGCATATGAGCATACTTTGTATTGCAGCAGTACACAGATGGTATTACACAGATTAATACACATCCTTAATCCTTCACATGATGTTATGAAATTAAATTACTGAATAGCTCCATGTATACAGTAAAAGCACAAGTTTGAATGCACAATTATTTTTATCAACTCCTTTAACAGTATAAAAAAAGCGCCTTAAATTCAACATGAATGTGATGTTCTGCTGTCTTTCTGTTACTTTTGTAAACAGAACAGATTGGTTTTTGAGTAGCCTCTTCTAATGATATCCAACAGAACTGGCTATAAATATGTATATAAAGACTGTTTCTTCTATGTAGGAGATGTATCAGTCTCTATAGAAATTGCCTAAATAATTTAATACAGTATGGCCTAATTTCAATACAATTGTAATCATCCTATAGAATTTGTGTATTCTTCTCCATTTTTTATTAATTCAGTTTAATAGAGTATACTCTTGCTATATTAGTAGTGCCAAGAACCTGTGGAAAATTGAGTGGCAAAATTAAAAATGAAAATGGTGTGCTGCTTTATATATATATATATATTCTTAAAATAGCAATTGGACAAATTCTGCTTGCCTCCAGCTCTCCAGTTCTGTCAGTAGCACCACCATAGGTGTCATTGCATAAGGGAAGGAGGGCTGGAACACGAGACCATGTGGAAATTTTTTCTTCACGACTGAGCAGAGGTCTGGGAGATCTCCTGCTATGTAGATGCTCCCCATCCCTGTAAATCATTGTCGGGCACATGAGAAGACCAGTGAACTACTGCTGTATTTATACCGAAAATCAGTTCTTGCAGAGAATTGCTTGGAGATATTTCTTTCCCTGACCCTGTATCTTATGAGTTGTTGCCAGTTTACGCTGAATATTGGCTCTTACCCTAGAGCAATGCAAAATGTGTCAAGGTAGCACATATCAGATTGCTTACATCAAATTGTACAATAAACTACTGAATTACTTTTCAGTTCTTCACTTTGCCTCTACAGAAGAGAGAGTCACATTTTCTTATCTCGTACTAAATTGTCAGACAAGCATGCTACTGAATGTAGTTTTTGACCACAGGCAGGTCCCCTAAAGGAGGATGTAGGAATATTCATTGTTAAGTATTTTATAAAATAGAAAACACTTAAGCACATTTGGAACTTCTGGAGTTCATCTATAAGTTGCATAAGGCTTCTTAGCTTTTTCCTCCAGTTGAAAGAGGAATGGCACACATACAGATATTCCACCATTGTGGACACAAGATTATAGAAGATTATGACTCTATAACGTCAATTTATCACAGTCCTGCATGTACTGCTACCAAGTACAAATACAAATCATGAAAAACATCTGTAAGTCCCTATAAGCAATTTGTCAGAATACTTTAAAGTACATGTATAATAAATGAAGAACACATGTTTCATAGGAACCAAATGAAACTAGAGCTGTACCGAATGCTTTGCCAGAGACTTGAACAGCTGTGAACATCACCTCTCTCTCCCTCTATCCAGCTTTAAAAGGCATTGTTTTCCTTTTAGCTTGACAGGTGATGTTTACAATACCGTCAGTCTTCCTGAAAGAAAGATTGCCCAAAATATCTCTGTAGACCATTTTCCATCTCCTTAAATGCTGTCTTTTGAGTCTCATTTTAGATATTTGGCACTTTCTGCTAAATTACGAAGGGTCCTCACTGCACCATCCTTGCCAGCTTCTAAAAAGACATCAAGCACCATCATTTACTTATGAAAAAATATCAGGTTACGTACTGTATAGTATTTACTGTCTGGTAGCTACAGTTAAGAGATGGAAAGTTTTGTTCATTTACTGTTCTGTTCAGAGTGTGCGCACACAAACACACCCACACGCATACACCTGTCAAGGTTCTAAAGAGGTTTGTCTGACTTTCCTGAGCTTGATGCCTCAACAAGGCTATGGATTTCTTCTGTCTGAACAGAATATAAAATGGCAACTCCAAAGTCTCTTTGCTATTATGTTTTGCATCTCAGATTAAGGTCACAGCTTTAGTATTATTCAGAATGATACATTTCCTTACATAGAGAAAAACTTAGCAATCAACCCTTCCTCCCAATAATATCAATTGAATACTGTCACTTCCATGTAAAACCTAGGCAAGAGAGTTTAATTCTCTCTCTACAGTCTTCCTACTCTACCAGTTTTTGCTTTGCTTCTCAGATAAGAGCTTCCTGCTTCTCTCATTCCTGTTTCAGATTTATTTCCGATAATGATAATCAGTAGGAGTGGAAGATGTTTTCTTTTATTAAATCTCCAAATATTAGTTCCCATACTTTTCAGTGTCTACAGTGATTTGCCAAACCTAAGAAAGGAGCAACAACTTTTTTACTTGACAACTCTGTGTTATAAAATATATTGTTATTAAATTTTGAGCAACTTTTCAAAATACTGAACAGTGTTATATTCAAGAAATGTGAATGAATTATAAACATTCTATTACTCAAGCCAATCTAACATGCATTATAATACATAATAAATTTATAATTTTACTTTGTTTTATCTGCTTTAAAAAGTAGAAAAAAAATTCTTCAGCACTGAACATGTGCAATCACCATTGTATATTTAAAAAAACAACCCGCTGATTATAAGGTAGCTTAAATAGCCCCAAGTGTCCCTGAAGAGCTACTGTGTGCTGTGTAAAAGCTGAATAATCCTCCCCATGTCAGAAGGTGACTCTTCAGCTGTTCAGGATCATGAGCTGATATGCTGCCACTCGTAAAAAAAGATTCAAAACACAAGAACATACATTTAGGTAAAGATCATGGTGATGGTATTGGAATTAATCTGCAAGAGCTGACAGCATTGAAACCAATCTAGCAATAATGATTCAAGGAATGGTAGCTTTTACTTAAAACCAAAACACAAAGAACACAGCAAATTCACACCAAAATAAGTTCACTGGGAATACGAAATTTTTACATCGTATTTGGCTCATTTTTCTTTTTTTACAAAGATAACTGAAAAAAAGGAGTATGTTCAAATACACTTTATATTTAAATACATACTGAATGCAGTATTCATATAACAACAGAAGTGCAGTCTGTGCAAAAGTACTCCAAGTCATTATTGCTCAGTGATCTGAATAAAATACTTTAACATATTTATGAAGGCACATTGATAGAAGAAAAGCTGTTTCAATCATCTGTGTTTGTTTTAATCATCAAAATAGGGGAATTCACTTTGGCCCCTGTGCTTAGAAAAATATGACTTTGTCTTTCAAAATCTCAGTATCTTCAATGTTTAGTCTTAGTATTTACATGGTAGTTTCTTCCCATTCAAGCTCCACATCACCTACAAAAGAAACAGATACATTGCATTAACCTACCTTGTAAACAAATAGTAACTAATGGCAGATAACTGTTTCGGCTGAATTTAAAAGATCTTGCAGGGAAAAAAGTGGAAATCTTGAGCAATAACTATTACCATGAGGGAGACTAAAGGGCAGCAAAATGCTAGAGAATTAACTTCTGAAGCCAAAAAATGCATGTCAGAGTATTTGTTTCTACTTCTTAGTCTAGACAAATCAACGCACCTGCTATGAAAAAATAATTTTGAGACAATCTGTATCTCCTTACCTTCCATGGCATCCAGAGAGTCCATCTTTTGCAGTGCTGAATAATTTACAAAACATATGGGCTGATTACTTCCCTTGCTTGTCAACAGATCCAATACACATTGATGCAAAAATATATATTGTGCCTGTAAGATGTGAATTTAAAGATGCTTGATTAGAAGAAAAATGTACTTCTAATACCAAAAAACTTTTTATTTTTTTATATAACATTTAGATGTCCTCAAAGTAACTGCAGTTTAACTTAGCAGTCTCAATACTTCAATGATATCAATGTGCCTGATCTGATTTCATTTACGATAAGGCATAATGCCTTAAAATTTGTCAAAAAATGTTAATTCTTATGCCCAGTAAGATATATGAAATTAGACTAATCGTAACTGAGACTAATAGGCTGTTGCACAATTTTCTGTAAAAGTTTCTTCTACGATGTTTGATTACTTTTTGCCACTAGATTCAGTGAATGTAATGAATGTAATATTTAGATAAGAAATTTTTTCTCTTTCTAGCATAGAGAAAACCAGCAGGGTGCACTCAAATGCAAAAGTTCAAGTAAATCTACATGTTCTAGGAGCATGCACTATTGCTAAGTGCAAAAAACCACATTGTTTTTAGTGATGCTTCTTAGACTGTAGCATGATTTTTAACAGACTATAATGCAAAGAGTGGGCAACAAAAGTTAATCTGACACTTCCAAGGACATAAAGTAAGTCTGGGCAATGATTGCTGAAAAGAGAAAAATAAAAAAAAAGGCAATGTAAGAATGAAATAAAGAATGAGGTAAAAGAATGAAAACAGGTGGAAAGAAAATAAATGGATTAAGCGTATCTTCACATAGGAGAAGTACTGTGTATGTAGATGTAGAAAATGAGCCAGATCACAGTATCACAGATTCGTTTAGGTTGGAAGAGACCTCTTGAGATCACCTAGTGCAACTCCCACTGCTCAAGCTGGGTCAGCTGAAGCACGTTGCCCAGGACCTTGTCCAGATGGGTTTTGTACATGTCCACAGATGGAGATGACCAAAATAACTTTAACTTCCTTGACTTTTGCACAGGTAAATACATTAGTGTAATTTTTCAGCTCAGAACTTCCATCAATTTTCAATTCAAGTGTCTCAGATTTATAAGAAAAATTTTTTTACATGGATATGTTTTAGGGTCACAGCTCCGGAGCCATGGGTAATTAAAACAAACTTTCACAGGCCCCTGAAGTACACAGTACCAGTACGCTTTTCAATAGCTTGCTTACTGAAGCAATAGCATGGCATTACTTCAAACTAGCCTTTGTACTTGACTTGGCAAGATGATAAACTTTAACAGATCCACTGGACAAATACGGATTTCTAGAATGAAGGTCTTAAGTTTCAGCTGAGTTTAGATTGGTTATTCCAATTCAGAAGGCAGACTCTGAAAGCTCCATAATCTCTTGCATTCATACAGCTACTTGTGAGCATGTAGCAATGAAAATCTTTCTGGGTTTGCCAGTGGAGAGTGAAGCAAGATACCTGGGGAGTGTATGTGTGACTAGTTATTTTCCCAGTTAGAATTAATGACATTCTTAATTCTTTGAAAGTCTTTTTTATGGTTGGAGAAAGAATAAAAAAGTTCACTAAAGATTAGGTTATGCACTTTACCTGTAGTCCAAGGGCAGGCCTTGGTAATGTACACGCCACCAGGCAGAGGACCAGGATATTGAAATTATGTCTACATTAGGGAATTAAACAGTGTCTGGGTACATTGCCAGCCGGTGGAACTTGATCATCGAAACTACTTCAAATTGTTTGGATAGGCCCTTGTATAGTTTTGATCCACATGAACCAGCACTATCTCAAATAATTTCCAGGTGTGTTTCAGGGCAGACTATGGGCCATTCCCTACAGAGAGCTCGGGGAGAGAGTGGTAACGGCAGAGGTGTTTAACTGCACAGATGTGGGCCATTCTGTGCCCATTGGCTACAGTAACAGAGAGTGACTCTGCTGGCAAAAGGAAAACTATTTTGAAGCTATAATCAAGAAAAAACAGGTCTGAGAGCAACCAGGTTTTTTTTATTTTACTCATAGGTCTTACAGACAGTTTGACTGAGGGATCTCTAAACTGAGTTCTGGGAAGGAATTGCTCCTCTCTTCATATCTTCTGTGCTGATCACATAAAATCTGAATTATAAACTACTAAACACTATTTTATAACAGAACTGTCTGAATAGCTTGACTACTGAATCCGCCATAAAACTTTACAAGATTTGGTTCTCTTTGGGCAAGTTTTAGTGCTGATCTACATTTTGTAGTCTTGCAAACACGAGCTAGAAATGGCCTGGACAGAGAACAACCTGTCTCAGGATTTTGCAGCTAGCATATAGATCAATACTTGATCTGTTTGGAAATCAGAACTATGAGACCATCGTCTTCTATTGCATTTTGGCACACCTTTTTCTAGCCTCTGCCAAAATATGCAAATGAAGAGGTACATAAAAATAATACATATTTTGAAAATTTACACTGATCTTATCAAATGTCTTACTGTTTTAAGATTTTATTTTGGGAGGCCTCCCATTAAATTGTCTTCCAGCCTTTGCCTTATTTTCAGATGATTCTATTTCTAAGTCAAAAGTATAAAACAACAACCAAAAAAAGTATTCCCAGAATTCATCATTACAGGAAAGTCCTGGCAATTGTTTAGCTGCATCAAGACTTCAAAAGGAAAAATTGAAAGCAATTGGTAATCAGACAGCACCTTACAAGAAACAGCATGACACAGTATCACCAGAAGGTCTCACAAAATCTTCTGAAGTGCAGTTGCTGAAAGAGGTTAAACTCTCTTTGTACGTTCTGACACACTTTTTGTATATTCTGACGTGATACAGAACAGCAGAATTGCGTTCCTAGTGGAACAAGTCTCCTTACATTAAAATCAGTTTAAATCCATCAGTCATGTGGAAGTTCATCCTGAAACTGCTCACCCATACTGAGAAGTTGGTAAGTCATGCTGTAGACTCCAAGGCTTCAGGCAGCAGCCTTCAGTTAGATCTGGCCTGCAGGAGGCTTATTCCAGAAGCCTTGTGCAAATACAGCTGGATTTCCATTCCACTGGGCATTGAGGATGAGCTTTAAATTCTGCTATTACTCCTTTACATACACCCAGATGTCCAGATATAGCAGAGGTTTTCCTTACCAGCAGGTTCTCACTAACTTATATCCATATTCAGTAAGTCTGCCAGAAATGCACTTTTTTAGACCCAAACCCCACCATTGCCTTGATTTTGCAAACTCTGAAGACTGTGCTTAATTCTATCCATATGTGTTATTTTATTTGAAGCAATTAAAAAAGAATCAAGGGATCATTAATGAGGTCAAAGGTAAATGAATATTTAAAAGTTTGGAGGACCATGCTACATATACATACACAAAAAAATACAGTTAAGTAGTAAATAAAGTAAAATTAAGTAGTGCATGAGCAAATCCATTTTTTATTTAACAACTGTTCTTCACCCCAAACTTGAAATGAACTTTCTCAAAGTCTGAGAAATTATGATTTAGGTTCTAAAGACTAAATATCTCAGCATTCTTTTTAGTACTTGTCAAGTCTTTGCTGGCCAAATATACTTAAATAGATACAAAGCATACATTTGCACAATGCTTGAAATCCAAAGGATTTCAGGATCTGGTAGAAAATCTATTAGGTGGCCGATTGTTCTGAGCTTTCTAGTCTTGTTTTGTAGGAGATCACATGATCAGATGACTAACTTTTTAACAACAGGAAAACAGAATAGATAAATATATAAATCTTACCAGATTCTGTACCATACACATTCTTTCACTTCTTAACTCAGCTACAAGTCCATAGATATCCACAAAATCATGGTCATTTACATGTTGGGTTAAATGGTCAAGTGCAATATAAACACCTGTTCTTCCAACACCAGCACTGCAAACATAATACACAAGATAAAGTTTTTATGTTAAATTTTTTTAGTATAAAATACTTTCTTAGAGTATTCTGGTTAAATTAAGTTTATTGTGAAGAAAAGACTTCAGAAAAATTTAAATCTTTTTCAGTATTTACTTTTGTGTGTGTGTGTGTCTCCTTACTGAATCAAGTGAAATCTGGATTTGAGCCATGTTCTGATTCCGATTTTACAAGGGGTTGCATTGGACAAATGAGATATAACTAAACCAAACCTGTATAAGTGGAAAAATGACCCTACAGCTTTTCTGTAGAGCTCACTAATTCAAAGAAAAAAAACCACAAGATTTTGTGAAATCCTACCTGGGTTCTGTGATGCTTTTGGTATTTGAGACAAAACAACATGGGATCTAGCAAAACATTTAAAAGGAAATACTTTTAAAAGGAGGATGCTTGTGCAAGACATGCTGGTAGCTAGTGTTGTTTTATTTCATGGTTTGAAAATGAACAGAATTTTCTCAAAATCACTATCAGACTTCTCTGCAATTGGTGTAATAAATGCAGGGTATATCACTGCAGTTAATCAGGAAATGTATAGCAAAACTCTCTTGAACCTGCAAGATCTAATGAGCAGAACTTAATGAATCAGTTTTCTGGATATAAGAACACATAATGCTGCTTTGAAACCATCAGAAATTTGAGCGCAGGTGAAGTACCTGGCCCATGCTGACCCCTTACGCATCTGTGTTGTGAAAAGGGGATAGGATTCATTGCAGAGGGGCCCCAGAGCACATAAGTGTCCTCAAAACATGAAGACGGTGTAGTTCTCTCCTGTCATAGTCTCTCTGGCCCCTGCAGTAGAGGGTAATGTCAAACTGTCAATGACAAATTACCAAATAAAATGAGGCTTTATCACCCGTTGCGGATGGCACCTGTAGGACAGTGAACACAAATAAAAAGAACTCCCATGCATGACAAACTGGAAGTTATCAGTTAGGGAAGAGATTTGTGGCACCAAACCCAGCTTTTCCTTCCACATATTTCCAGACTCACATTGAGTGAGAATGAGGCAAAGAATCAATTGCAGACCTCTGAGTTCAGACCACCATTTTGGTGTGTGCCCACTCATTCGGTGGGAACACTGACCTGCATATAAAATGCAGACACACTCACCACCTTCCTGAAGACTTAGCCTTCCCCACACACTTCAGCTTTGAAATAGCAGTTTAAGGGTGTTGGGTATGAAATCAATGGGAACTATGACAGCTGAACACCTCTAACCACCAGACCATTTATTTAAGAGCCTAAATATAGATTTTAGCTGTTTACAGGCATCCAAGCTTGCAATCTGGCATATGCAAACCCTTATTCCTATTTGTCATTCTGTGTTGCTCCCAAATAGTTTCTTCCTCTTGATATGTGACATGTACATTTGAAATACTATTTTTAATACTTATTACTTAAGAAGAGCTATAATTATAATAGAAGTAATTAAAACCAACATGTCAGTTGCTATTCTTCTTCTTACGATAAAGAAGAAAATTGAGATAAATCCAGCAGTACCTTCTGGTAATTGTTGAAGTAACTATTTCACTGACATCACCTCGATAGGATTTCCAAGAATGGAAGAACAGACACATGTTAGCATTTTACCTCCTAGAAAGGACTATGGAGCACTGCTAGAGAAACCTTCACTGCTGTCCGTACTAGAACCACACCTGTGCACTCAGTTTTCATTGTTCTTCTTCTGGCAACTTCCCTGAGCATTAATATGCACTTGAAATTATAAGATATTAAATAATGATTTGGTGAATATGCTTACCTGCAGTGAACCACCATTGGTGTATTATCATGTGCTCGACTTGCACGGATAAGCTTTACAAAATGGATAATTGGTGAAGTAGTTTCAGGGACTCCATGTTCTGGCCAAGAAGTAAAGTTACACTGCCGCACCATCACGCAGTCTCCATGCTGAAAAATATAAAATAAGGCAGTTTTGCAGAAGAAATGTGACAGAAGATCCAGTAAGCTACATGTAAACTTCTCAGCAATTTCATGTAAAAAAGAAAGGCAGAATAGCATAATAATTATAAGATGTAGTTGTGCCAAGGGATAATTTGTTGTGCACAGATTTTATGGCAGGTTTTTTGAGAGAGATGGCATCAAGTCCATCTTTCAGGAAGTATTAATGACTTCAGCAGTCACTCTCCATTCGGCTTCAGTCACCATATCAATGTAATTTGTAGATTACAGGTTGAAGTTTCTATAGCTCATTTAGAAGTTTAGTGAACTGGGCTGACAAATTTATTTAGGGGAAAGACTGATTTAATGTGGTCAAGGAAAACACACATATGTTGATAAACACAAATATATTTCCAAGTATTTGATGCCTTCTCAATCAGAGCAGCAGCAATAGTAACTCAAAGAAAAGAGCTGTTTATGATCTGATATCTAAATTAACTATGAAGGACCTAAAAGTAAAAGCACAGGATCATGCCAAAGGCCCGTCTAGACCAATATCCTGTTTCCAACAGTAGTCAAGGAAAAATCTTAGGGAAAATTATAAAACATGACAACAATGTATCTATAGTTCCACAGAATATCCTTTCCATTCTTAATAGTTTGTTACTTATGAACTGCCTCAGTCAGAGATGGTATCTCGAAATTTAATAGTACTTGTCAGAATTTTCTTCTACTAATTTCTCCAGATTTTATGAAATCCTGTAAGTTTTTAGCATTCACAATATCTTGCAGCAAGGAGTACCATAGTTTAATCAACTGTTGTGAAATGAACCAGTTCCTTTTTTTTAATGTATTTTGAACCAACCACTTGCTCTTTTCATATTGCAAGAAACACTGAACGACTGTGAACAATTATGTGTAGCAACTACTTTGGGTCTATATTTTTTAAATTGATCAACATAAAAACAAAAGAGAAGTGACTTTGGATGCAATATGGCAATAATTGTGAATGATTTCCCTCACATGTGCTTTTTACCATCACTGGAATATCATCAAGAATCCATCCATTTGTGAATGGAAGATGAAGTACAATCTTAAAGCCAGCAATATGGCATACTTAATGACATGCTTATAAAGGACATAGCTCCTTGTGCAGGATAGTTCAGCAATAGTAAATGGATCACTTAGTCAATTCAGGTCTTGTTTTCTTTTCTTTTCAGCCTTGCCCTGGTTAACACAGGTAACTTTGCATTTTGCTGGCATGCATTTTTAGTCTAAATAGTCCCTTTTTCAGTCTTGTTTACTCTATGTCTTATTTTAGCTGAAAAAAGTTTATCTTTTCTCACTCATTTTAAAGTGTTGAATTGTCCTGTACTATGTGCACAACATATCCTTATGGGGTGACCACTGAGATAATCCCCTAACTGCTGTGTTCCTTTTGTCACATGCACATGCCACAGGATGGTAATGCATGTATTTGGGTAGCCGAGTTCAGGTCCTAGGATCTGGCTGCACTGCATACAACACAGGTTAATGTTGGGAGTGCAAAAGAAGGCTGACTTCATCTTGGGTCATTATGCCCAGGTTGCTTTCTGAGCCCACCTGCTGGTCTGACTTAACGCTGGGTGCTAGTTTTTCCAAAGAGTGGAAACTATAGTTGTGGATCATGACAAAGATGAACATCTATGCTGTACCTCCCACCCCCCTTCCCAGCACAAAGAGTGGGAGTAATACTGATGATTCTCATTTATATTGGGTGAATCTCCTGGGGGTGGAGGCTAATACAACTGGTGGTACAACGAAAAACAGCTGCGCTGCACCACAGAATCTTGCCCTTTAATCTGAGAGGGATACATTCAAAGGGATTTGTCTGATACCAGAATGGTTAGGATTACTCCTTTCTAGAAGAGACAACTGAGGTGTCCAAATAGAAACTTCAACTCCCACCAGACCAGAGGTTCAGTAACCTTGATAAGCCCTTCATAGCATGTCAGCCACATATCTGAGCTCTTTGTGACAGAAACTGGAGAAAATTTTCGGGGGTCGGGGGGGAAACCAGGAATGAAAACAAAATGCAGGAAAACCAGGCGGTACAATGAATATGCATTAAAAGAGTAAAAGAATAATACTGAGGGATATTTGGGTGGACGGAGCACATCTGATGTTCTCTGAGGTGTTGGATGGGTTTTATTAAATCAGCTTCTAGTTCTGGCTTACCCTTTCAATTTTTAGATCTCGGATGGTCCAGTCTATTTGAATATCTTCCATCAATTTAGTAATCACTATATCCCCAAACACAGTAACTGGTTTATTATCTTCTGGCCAGTACTGATGACATCTTATCTGCAGGGAGATGATTACTAATTAACAATGATCATATTATAATCTTGACAGAAACTACATACAGAATTTCCAATTATATCAAATGCTGTTAATAGGTACGCTGGTAACTTACCCGTCCTTTTTCAAAACATTGTGTAAGCATCACAAGTGTTTTTGCTCTCGTCTCCCACACCATTCTCCAGAAATCACCCACTGTTCCTGGTAATGGTCCCTGAGTTGCAATAAACTCATTTGGACATAAATAACCCTAAGAAAAAGAAAATATTTAATACATAATGGTTGGCAAGGAAAAAAAAAGGTTGCATGTGACTTATAGTTTGCCTGTAGCTATCATGCCTAAGGCAAGAACCTTGACAGACATACTGAACGAATTGGCATAGGCCTGGCTAATCATTGCATGGCAGATGGCCTTGGAAACCTAAGGAAGTAATGGCACTTTTTCCACCATGCAGATCAGTTATGAACCAATGCTCTAATAAAGTTTGGGAAATGCCATCCTAATAGATACGCATTTAGCAGAGAAATTACAGAGACATCAGGTCAGTAATTCCCATTTAAAAATATCTAAGCCTTCATATTAGCCTTACTGCAGATCCAGCTAGAGGCCACCAAGAATTGTGTTAGGAAGTGGCCAACAAAGTAGAATTAAATAGTGCTAAGGAGCAGCGGAGCCAGGGAAACAACTAAGGAGTGGTCTGAGAGCTAGTGCAAGCTGCACACCACACTGATGACCTCGTCCTTCCAGTGATCGTCAGGGATCTGCTGTAACTTAGGGATGGAGCTTACTCAAACAAATGATCTCTCATAAAAGGTCTTCGAGAAACCTACTGTAGGGGTTGACTTTTATTTTAGTGTTGGCTTTTGCTGTTTAGTTCATTTATCAATTGATGTAAAACTTGGGGAGAAGGAAGTTTGTTGAAAAAAATCTGTGTAAATGCTGTCAGCGCATGGGCTCTCATAGATGTGTTTCCTCAAAGAAACTAAGCGTACCCTACAGGAAGTCTTATGTACTACAGAAAGTCTAAAATAACAACAGTAGTAATAAAAGCAATAAATTTATGTGGTAGAGCTAGCAGTCTATAATATCAGAGAGTTCTGCTTATTGCTCAAAACAACTGACACAGTGGTTTACAGCACCACCGAAGCTCCTTGTTGGAATTATAGCCCTATAATTCACAGCTGCCTGTTACTTACTCCATCTATAACATACAGAACAGGTGGCAGTGAGAAACTATGTTAATCCTCCCTAGTTTAAGAGTGAGGTGAGAAACTATAATTCAGGGATGCAAAGCTCACAGTTCAGTTACAGACTTTTTCTTGTTTAACCAATGAAAATAGAAGTAGCAGCCAAGTTCCCATGTGTTAAAACTATATACAAGACCAAAAAATCTCTTTATATGTATGCATATGTATATACCTATGTGTATAGGTATGTAAATACACACACACACATATACTGTATATTTACAGCTATATGCATTTATATATTTACACATCCACAAATATGGTGAGAGCATATAAAAGGCAAAGCTTTAGCCCTAGAAATGGTAACATTACAGTTGTCTATTCACTGATGAACGGTGACCTAAAGTGAGATGCCTGTATGCATAAAGACACGCAAAACCTCAGCAGGGAACACTCTCTGCAGTTGGCTTTTGCTGCAGCTTTTTGGAAGTTGCTGTTAGTGTTGCCTGCCTAAGCCTTGGCATGTCAGTTAGTGACAGGAAGGGTAACGACCAGGCCATGCTCCAAGCTGTCTGGTCTCCTTCTCAGTGGTTCTGTGTATAGTCCCAGCGTCAAGTAACAACGTGGCATGGCTCTTCCTATCTGCTAACTGTCAGAACTAGGACATTCCATATAAAGGGAATAAATAGCTTTTGCTAATGAGAGAGGAAGATGCTCTCAGCTCTATTGCTTATTCTCTGCGGAGGTCTCTTAGTTACCTAGAAATAACTATTTCTACTTGCCTTTGTGTCATCTGTTTAGACTACAATCTGCATGTCTTGCTATGTGTTTGAATAGTGCTTAGGGCAAATGAAGTCTTGACCTCATGTGAGATTACCAGCCACTGCTACAACTAATCAAATGCACAATTATAAGTCACACTTTGAGCTTCAACAGGGCAAAAAAGACATAAAAATATAGATGAAGAATTTACTGAGAAAACAATTAGAAAATGGAAAGTCCAGGAAGGAAGCTGAGGATGAGAAATACAGTATTAGTTTCTTCTTCAAGAAGACTATTTGCATTTTCCTCCATCATAACTTTCACAAAATAATAAGGGTCATACTAATCCCACTCACAAAAATTATTAGCCATTTCTATGAAACTTTTCAGTTCAGTTATCTTTACATTGTCCTGTTCATATACAATAGCTCCAACTCCTGAACCAAGAGACCAAATAACGCCTGTCTAAACAATTGACCTCAGTGGGAGTTTCACTATTGTCTTTAATGATAATGGTATGAGACAATTTATAGAAAGTAATTTGCTGGACACAGTTTTGATTATTACTGAAAATCATTGCTTAGCAATGAAAATGGGTTAATTTATATTTTTAACTAGTCATGTTCAATACCATAGGAGTCACTTGAACAATGCTGTGGCAACAGTAGCTGTAGTGAATGAAAGAAGAATTAGAGTTCTGTTCTTCTGCAAGTTATTTTTTGACTCTCTTTGCTACCAGAAAACAAATATAGTAAAAATGTGAGAGACTTTCTACTTACAGACACGTAGCTGGCATTAATGTAGTCAGATCCAGGAATACCAGCATCAGGCATCAGCTTTACTCTGTTATTATTATCTATCATGGAAATGAAGTCTAGTTAATGAAAAAATTTGTTCAAAAAAACATAGACGCATGTAACAAGTGTTCCTGGATTGCTAAGAAATAAAAAATACTGTTATTATTGCTAATCTGACAATATTTGACATAGTAGAACACTAATTACAAAGGGAATTTAACCTGTATGGTCATCCTTTAATGTTCCAGACATATTTTAAAATAATACTTTTTAATTAAAATGGTGAACGTGCCAAAACCTCCAATTTGATGTATGTATGGGTGGATACTCTGCCTAAAGGCAGCCCGTGTACTTTAAGCTATGCTGTTGTAGCACAGACAACCTCCGTGTGAATCAGACAGCAGGGTCAGGGGTCTGACAGTCTTTCCTATATACTTGCTGTCCAGGTCACAGATTTGAGCCGGATCTTGGCACTTTTATGTACTTTTGCTTCTTTTATATAAGGTAAGCTCATTACTACAGGGGAAAAAAAAAAATATTGAGGGTTTCCAATTTGGGCCCATGGTGTGTATGCAGAAATGACAAAAACCGGGAAAGATGTCATATGTGAATAAGTAAATGCTGAAACCAAACATTCCAAACTTTGATGTTTGGTCCTCAACTTAGTAAAAAAAATTAGAATACAAAGTTAAAGATTTATGAAATTCATCTGTTTATATTTCATTCTGTGTCATGAATATCAATTTTGAGTGACTGTAACTTAGAGTATGTCTTGAACAAGGCAGTAGATAGCAGGAACAGCTGCTCTGAAAAGTTAATAGCACAGAATGTAGCATTATTAACCTAGGAATGCCATGCTCCCCATCTCACATCGCAGCTAATGCCTAAAATAATAATGACATTTCTTGTCTTATTAACTGAAAAATGAAGTAGTGTTGAGTACAGAGAGACAGACTCCTGTCTCCTGTGATAAAATCTAGCCTTGGCTTATAAGTTATCATACAGTCACTCTGATCTTTTGTGGAACCTTTGCAGCACATGTACACTTATCCACAAGAAAGCATATCCAGGCTCCTGAGGTAGCTGAATGCACAAACATGTGGATTTTATACGTTTAAAAAAATTACTTCTCACAAAAGGGAAAAAAACCAAGAAAGAATGTTAAAGAGTTTGCTACATGGCTTGAATTACAAAGCTAAGAAACTATTGAGGCTACAGTTTCTTGCACCTGCATATTAAAGCTTGTGAGAGCAAGTTGAAAGCTACTTGCAAATAAAACTGTCTTTAAAAAAACACAATGAAAAGACAGATTACTTGACAGAAAATTATTTCATAATGTGGACATGATTGTTGTGCCATTTCAAAGACAGATTAAACAAAAATACAGTTGCATTCCAAATATATGCTGCACTATCGAAGGTAGAGACCAAAATGTAGCAGTTGATCAGTAAACACACATACATGGCTTTATGTTTGGGAAACGATTCTTAGACCTGTTCCAAGGCAGATCAGCATCAGTTGAAGCAAGGTCTTCAAGAAACTTGGGAAGTTCCTGTAAAGGAATAAATGTTTGTTGGCAAACCTTTGCATTTCACCTTCAGTGAATATAAAAAATGACACAATCACTCCAGTAAGAGGAAGAATTCTTTAGTTCTGCAGCAGAGTGCATTTCTAAGAACAGCTGGAAGCATTACAGAGCATTCCACCTCATTGTCAACCGAAGTTACACCAGCAACATTAGATGCAGCGCTGCAGACAATGCTGTCAAATTGAACCACTAAAGCTTACATGAACTTTCACCTATACAAGTCTGGATAAAGTCAGCCTATCACCTTTTGGAGTTATTTTCTGCCTTTTCATGAAGTCACATGCTTGGTTACCATGCCGTCCTGACTCAGCCTTATTCTTGAAAAATGCCTTTTCCTGACTCCTGTAGCTTGGGAGAGTTCTTGCCACAGCATGAGAACTGATGAGAATTTAATTAAATTGAGACAACTGGCAATTAGCTGTTTGTGAAAGGGGCGGGAAGAGTTATTTTGGGTTGTACTGCAGTTTCATAACTGGTCATTAGTTCTATTACTGAAGGGCAGAGATGGATACATCATTCATATTGAGGAACTTATTTGATGGGGGTGTTTGTGTACACAAATAGGTATAATTTCCAAAGCTGAGTGAAAGAGTGGAGACAACTTTGTAACTTGTTAATGGAGAAAATGTATTAATGTGATGATCTCATAGCAGTGATAAGAGAACAGAAAACTCTTAGAAAAGCCAGAATTCAGCCAGAGTTTCTAAGTTAATAACTACATTAACTGTAATAGATTTTCCCTTTGTTTGACAAATGTTATATGCAAGTCTATTTCAACATCTAGCTAAGATACAAACAAAGAGATATACCTATTGCTTTGAATGAGTACAATATAAAATTTTGCCACTTGTGCTCAGTAATCCCTTCAAATTTGTCTTTTAATATTAACAGTTACTCTCTACATGGGCTAATTCCAAAAGTGGGGCAGATAGCCCTACTACCAGATTTCAATGTTAACTATTTTCAAGTGCTCTTTTGCCCAGGTATTTGAGACAGTTGTCTTCTATAAATAAAATTTAATGGGCAACTACTAGCAAATTAATAAATAAATAAATGAAAGAGGTAATGAAAAATGGAAAAAGCAGGAGTGTTTTTTATTCCAGTGTTTTTCTTTCATTGCTAATTCAAATATTTTGTCAGCCTTATTTGATGGGTTCAGATATTAAGAATAATTTAACATGAGCATTAGCAAAATGGGATAATTTAAAAACTGATATAATAAACCAAGTCAGTAATTCATCTAATCTGATATCCTATTTTGTACAACGGATAATGTCTGACAAATAAAAGAGAGCTCAAAACCCTTGAACTGTATTATATGCAATATTATCCCATGAGAAATTTGTTTCTTTCACCATATGACAAAAATCCTATGGCCTGAAGCATGAGGACTATTTAACTTCTATAATTATATCCTCAATAGTATAACTGCAGGTGCTTCTGAACAGGAGGGGAAAGATGGTTTCACGATGAAAGCAAAGGACTTTCAGACAAGGGATGTGACTTCTCTTCCTCTCTCTGACACATATTTCCTTGGGGAAAGAATTAGGGGAAGAATTGCAGAGGACAACTAGATGCTCATCTCCCTTTGAAAATTAATAAGGGACTAGATCCCATCCATGTCCTTCAAAATCTCTCTAAACGTCTATGTTTCCCGGGGATGAAAAGTCTATGATTATGCCCCTTCTAAAAAGAAAGTTTCTGACTTAAAATCACCTTATAAAGAATGGTTGACTTTACATTTATATCTGTATGTTAAGGAATTAAAAAACATGGTTAACAGACATGAAGTAAATACAAAACTAAATGAAGGACTGTAACATACTGTAGAAAAATATCTTTAAAGGCACTCATTATTTTAAAATCTTGTCTTTGAATCAACCTCTGCCATACTCAAGGCACATTTCTTCTTTTACCTATTCAGTTGCCTCTGCCTTTTGTCTCAGTAATCCCTTAGAGGAGTAAAGCCTCAATCCTATAACTGAACCTAAAGAAAGACCCCTGTTCTCAGAGTACAGCGTTGTGCATTCCTGTCAGAATTTGATAAGAACAGTAAAACACAGCTAAGGGTGGCGATGTTAAAATTCCTCTCATTCAGAAAGCTGAAACTCTCCCACAAAATTTCTGTCACTGAATTTTGCATGAAGGAAGAACATAGACAAATGCCTATGGCATTTTGCAGGTGTTATGGGCCATGGGATCCCACATCATGTGCATGTCATGTGAACTATAACTTGCCTCATTTGCCTCTGAGTCTTAGCTTGCCAGTTAACTAGTATAGAAGTAGCACTGTTGTACAGTACTTTGTAGTAGAGAGGAAACAGAGAAGCAGACTTTGTTATTTTTGTAATGATGCTTCCATATCTGAACAAGTGCTCAAAATCCTCATACCAATTCTCTGCATCAGTACAGATTTCAGTCTAAATGTTTATTTTCAGAACTGGGGAAAGACTATCTGGATTCCCAGATTCAATAACAATTTGTCACAGAAACCATATTTCTTTGTTGACTCATAAAACTTTGAAATAATTAATTTGCACTTTGTTTTCTGTAGTACTTTTATGGTACTGTGGTGACATTCGGAGCTATTTCACTTTTTTATTCATGAACAGAACTTATCGTAAAACGCTTATAGAAGTTTTTCTGTTTCAGTAATTTGCCAGTTACTAGGAAAATTTGATTTCCCAAAGGTCTTGAGAGATACATGAATCATCTGGAAAGCTGGAAGTTTGAATACCAGCTAGGTGGTGCCCACCATCAGTTACTGTGGCTCCCTATGGTTTCTTTAAACTTGGCTTTTCTGACAAGACATGGATCGAGATCCATTCCGAGGTCCAGATTCTCTTCGCATCACGTTTACACACAGGCCATGTTCATGTGTGGACTGAGATTGAACCCTGGAGATCTACAGGCACAGCAGCTTGGTCAATCCAGCAAATTAGATGAGATCAGGAATGTCCCCGGATTCCAAGACTAAGTGAAATGGAAAGAGCCACATTTATGCTAGAAAACTCCAAAACAGGTTTATTGTCCAGAAACTGCATATTGTAAATGATCCCTAGACTACTTTACCTACTAAAACATATCTTGGAATTGTCCAGGAAGACTGCTAGCTGAAAACAGTCCAAATTCAAGTCAGGGAATATACTAACAGTTTATTAGTGTAAATTTTCATATTCTCACGTCCAGTTCCTGATATACTTGAATTTACTAGTACAGAGACAGCCAGAGAGCCCAAGCAAGCTCAGCACCATGCTTTTAGTTATGTGCTTCAGATATAATGGTCCATGGGTTTATATCTTGAGCTCATCTCTCCTACACACATTGTAGGAGCCTTGAGTCATTTACGTGAAACTAAAATGATGAATGTGGATAGAAACAATGCACGTCACAAGGTCTGCTTGTTTATTGTGTGCATTGCCTCTTTCTGTGCATTGTCATTTCTGGTATCATTTCAAGCACATTGTCAATCCTATTATCCATCTGATAAGACAGGTGCTACAGATACTACAGATATACTCTTAATCAGGGACTGGACCTACCCTGCAATTCTGCCTGCCCTTGTGGACAAGTCATCTGGGAAGATACCACTACACTCTGAAACATGCAAGCTGAAGCTCAGAGAGAAAAAAAAAATGGAAGCCCAAATGACATATAAACCTGTTGATTATAAGTTGACTATATAACTTAGTTGAATGAGGCCTCAGCTACTTGTATTTCTCTAAATTTGAAATGGATTGCCAAGATTTTGATTTGATAAAACACTATTGTTTAAGTTTTAAGGCATTACGATGCTGTAAGGCTTACCCTATGTGGGTCACACCTAAAGAAAGTAATACTAGAAACTTTCCAGTGATGAACGTTAATATGTGAAAATGTTATTGCTAGTAAAACTTTTCATCTGTTCAGTCATGCATAATATAACTATAATCACTCTTGTTCAAGTGAAATAACACTTCTACTCTTGGAAAAAAAGTTCTCCTTACTTTATTGCTCAGAGAATTTTATGGTGCTTTTTATTATTAAATCCAACCAATTTTACCTAAGGAGCATAACAAAAAAGCTGTAGGAAATACCATTAATCTTTTCACACTTTTGTTGGTTTTCCCTCAGAGACTGAAATATTATAATCTAGCAGAAGAAAAGCCAATTGTTGAGTCTTCATTTTTGTTAATCCAACTGGTAAGCAATTCATGGTAAATCTGTAAATCCAAAATAATAAAGTCACTGGAGACTGACAAATTATTTTTGTGCGAGCAAATGACTGTATGTGTTAAAAATGATGATGACAAAGATTCTGAAATAACAAGAAGAGAAGATATTGTTGAGAAAAAAAAATATGATAGCCGTAAAAATGTTACTTTATGAAAATAGTAAAAACTTTGAGATTTAAATTTGAAAGTATATATGCATTATATTATATGTAATGTATATTTTGAAAGCTGGTCTCTTTTCAGAAAGAAAGACAGGCTTGCCAAGTTCATCTACTCGCATAAGGAGACGGAGGCTATTCACATGGAGGCTATTCTCAAGAGCATGACAAGTATGACCTATTATTTGTAAAGGAGCAAAAACCAAAGTACCATGCACAAACTTTTTACTTTCTGCGCTGAAACCTATGAAAGAAAAACATTTCTGAGTTCCATGGCAGTATTACTGGGGCCTGAACATTTCACAGAATAAATGTCGGCTGTGTTTTTGGGGTCATCATCACTCAGGAAAATGAACTTATTTAAAGCAGTTAAATATATCTGTATATATCTTAGAAAACTATTTCTAAATAAACTGTTCTCAGGTAAACTACATATGCTTTGCTACATATGTAAAAGCATAAATATTATGGTGTTCTCACAAAGATTGGAGTCTAAAGAAGATCATCTTTTGCTGACACTTAGGTGAATAATTCCGATCAGGTTGCAGTGTAGACTGCAGAATCCAAATCAGTGTAATATTACTTTCTAAACAATCAAACTGGTAATTGGGTATTGATTATCAAGGCCACAGTCCTTCACGGCCTTGCCTGCTTAAAATGGACATGAAATGTGACACATGAAACGACTGAAGGTCTTGCGATGTTGTGACAACTGCTAGCAACATACCGAAAATTCTTCCTGAAACTTTAGGTTGTTGTTTGTGCAAAGCTCTTCAACATGTTGTAGGAAGGACTTCTTGCTTATTGGCCTGAAAGTAATGACAGAAGAATTAGAAACCTATAGGGAATTTCTTTGTCATTCTTTTTATTCTTATTTAACTGCAGTTTATTAATAACATTTTTCAGTTCAATAGAAACTGAAACTTATAGACAGAAAATTATAAATTGCTTACAGCATGCTTATTTGGTTTGTTTTCAGTCACTTAAAATAGAAGCATTTTCTGTTGTTCCCCCTCACCAAATTTTTAATGTTGCTAATGTTAACAGTACTGTCAGGTAGGATTGTTTTTACCGGTAACAGGATTCCAAGGTGAAGTTTTGACATTAATGGAAATTTGTAAAGTTATCATTGCATTCTAAAGTACCTAATACTTCTTTGTCGCACAGAAAACATTTTATACATTGCAAGGTTTTAGAAATATAAAATATTGCAGTGACCTCATTCTCATAATGACATGGTTTTTAAACCCCGAGGAGTTTAAATATCCCTGTATTACTTCCCAAGCTAAAACACAGACATGCAGGCTTCACCCCAGAGAGAGAGAAAGCATTTCTCCAGTTACCATGCAATTAGTCATGCTTTTATGATTTATACGCAGCTTGGAGTTTTTTTCTAATAAACATAGAGGAGGGAACCACACATTGAGACTCACTGACGACCACAATATAAATATCTTTAATCAACTTACTTGATGGATTTTCTATAACTAAGTAACCTGCAACAGAGATTTTTGTTAAATGTAGCAAGCTGAGAGTTAACCAATATTGTGCATGTTAATAAGTTTTAGATTAAATACTCAAGTAACTAAAGAACCAGATTTATTTCTCTCATGGATTCAAATACTATTATATGTCAGATATCTTGAGTGATTGTCTTGCTTAGTTTTTATCTCAGGTATTGGCAGATATGCATATGGTAGTAACAGTTTCTATCATTCTATTCAGATCATTTTACAGTGCTCTGGGCTCATATGGCCCTGGGAAATCCATATTTCCAGCACACCACTTCACATACATTGACAGGCTTCATTTTACACTATGTACTCAATATCATTCTTCTAAGGGCCATTTCAGAGCATAAGGATAGGATTCATCTGACTGAATACAGACATCTATTTCTGAGCTAGCCACTCTAGATTCCTTTTATAATCAATGAAGAGAAATAGGTGTGATTTCATCTCATTTTAAGCAGATATCTAAAATAAGTCACAGATGAATCATGCTATTGGTGTGCCTCTACAGAAACCAAACAGCTATGGCTGTTTTTCCGAAGATTTAAAAAATGAGCGCCTATTTTCATGCTCATTTTTACATGTTCACTGCTGTTTCTGGTGCTTGGTGATTTTAAAAACTGTGCTACATATTAAATCTTTAACTTGATCCCATAGCAGGTTTCATGAAGATGTTACATGAGCATCTATACTCAGGGGACTTTCAGGTAGCCTTGAAACTTGGTCACCACCGTCGTCTTTGAACCCATTTTAAGAATGTCTCACAAAGCTTGTCTAAAAGATCGAGCCAAAAAGTTTGAAGTAATACAGTTTAAAAGATAACTTGCCGCTTCAAAAAAGTGCTAAGTATACCTTTTATGTGTCTGTCTCTCCAAAAATCATACATTCCTATATACAAATATTTCAAAAACTATTCTATAATACAAATACAAATGTCTACTGCTGCCATAATTTTAGTAGAAAAGACAACAATTTGCTTTAAAAATACTTTGGTTTATGAAGTTATTCTTTAATATTTAAATTTTAAATTAGATAATAAAATTAGATTAATTCAATTGTTGAATCATTTATTATTAAGCATCAGAGAAGTTAATTTCAAAGCTACTAAAGATGCCTTTGTGGTACATACTTTGATAGGACAGTTCTCTTCAAACAAAGCAAACTGGCTATGAAAGACTTGGCTCAGTCTCACTGGAGTAAAAAGAAGCGTAAAAATTGACAGAAAAAGACTCAAACTCAAATTGCTTACTAGGACAACTGAAGGAGAGCTTTAGAATCAAAAAGAAAATAAGGTGGCAATAAGACAACAAAGCATGCGGCTCAATTTCTTCAGAATATTTAGACATCTAGCTAGTGCTTATTGTATCACTTATGTTCTTTGTGTTACGTGGCAGATGAAACTACCTTCTAGTAATATTGACAACCTTATAGAGCTAAAGTTTCCTGAAGAAAAAGTATTCTTAATAGCTGTGCCAATGTACTGCATGTAAATATATTTGTCTTTGAGCAGAAAGTAAAGTTTTTTTAGGCCTTTTTTCAGGACAAAATTATAAGCAAAGAAATTACACTTGTTTTCCCTTTGAATTCACCTATCTTCACCATAGAACAACAGAAGAAAAGTCATCTCCCAGTTGACATCCCAGTAATTTTTCAAATACTGTTGGCTTTTCGCCTCTCAAACTGATAGCAATTAGGGGCTTACTGCACCTAATTTGCAGTAAGCAAATGCAGTTTGGTCATTAGGGAATAAAAATTACATCTATGCTGTACATAAGTAACCGGGGTATGTCATTTAGTGTTTCAGTGCTAAAGGTACATGGATCCAACAGCAAAGAACATAGGAGACAAGCAGCACCATTAACACAACCTTACTCAACAATATTTTCTTTTTTTACTTTCACTCAAATAAGGGAAGTAAAGCACTGAAATAGCACAGGAAATAAACTAAACACTTAGTGTTACATATTGTTGTTGCTTTCTAGTTATATAGTGTTGCTTTCTAGTTAATTTTTTGTGTTAATAACAGGTGTTTTTTTAAAGCATAATCATGTATTACCCTTCACAAGCACTAAACGTTTTTAAAGAAGTAAGGCACCTACAGTTTGACAATCTATCTGTGGGCATTTAAGTGAAGAACTTGATTTTTAGAACTATGGAACTCCCACACTTCTGTTGGTAGCAAGTGCACATAGCAGTGGCTTGGCAGCTCAGAAAATAAGATTTCATTTAAATGCTTATATGTCAATGAATGTCTAATTTGAAGACTGTGGCAAAGACATTGGCTTTGTTGTGTAAGAATCTTCAGAAGGGATGAATTTTGTATGCTCACTACAGACTTACAGCTATGCTCAGTTTCAGCATCCTCAGGCTTCAAAAATTAGTATTTTTTCCAAGTCTCTTGACTTGGAATATGTAATAATCATCTTACAGTATTTCATCAATGAACAAATACTCATCTACAGGTAATCTTGTTCTCCACATTTCCCAGTCTTTTGTATAAAACATAAGAATATAGATATCACTAGATCCTGATGAGCACAATTTAGAATCAAACCATGAAGTTGCAAATTTCCCTATTTCAGCTGGACAATTCCAGATTCCCGCTTGTCTGACTTTGAAACTAGGAAAGAAAAACATTCTCTAAGATGAAGAATGCTTTATTGCCTTAAATCTGATTTTCTTTTAAAACAGTGTATTGTTTCATGTGTGGGATTTTTTGAAGTCTATCAAAAATCTGAATCCCACTCAGATTACTTATGATAGAGCTAGAAAGAAGCCATTTATTTGTGTTGGCAGTGGTAACTGAAGACCATATTGTCACACAGACTCGGCTTTCTCTCTGGGTCAACCATCTGAAATCCACAGGGAATTAAAACTTCGTCCAAATAGAAAACAACAGAAATGAGTATGTAGGCAAAAGGCTTAACTCATAAGCACCATTGACACTTCCTAGGAACAACGGAAGAACTAATTTTTAGCAAGTTAATTGAAAGCAATATGGAGCTTAACCCTTCCTAAATATTAAAGGCCTAAGGAAAGAGAACACATGGTCATTTATTCCATTGTACCAGAACACGTACATTCATAAACCTTGTACTCCTGGGATACAAAGCTCAGGAAGCCTATTTTTGATAGTTGATTACTAAAGGGAAACTTGTTGAAGAAAAAGGCACGGCAGGAGCCATGCCTATCCCGACTTAAAGAAAGAAGAAACAGGCTGGTCTAGAGAAAGTAATGTTTGTGCAGAAGTGTTACCTTGAATATAGACACCTGCTGAATGCACAATATATAGGAAAGGGGAGACCAGACAATACTTTTCCATAAAAAGTTCTAATCGCCTGGTATTTGCAAGGGTTACGGTGTCTGTAATTCAGAAATATTTCTCCTGAATCTGTGCCCCATTTGCTTGACGAGCTGTCTCACATGGAACGAAACAAAAGCCTCAAAGTATCCACTACAAGGTGTAACTTCTCAAGGAAAGATTTTAAGAAACAGGGACCTACATGGCTTTATGCTTGCTGCAGAAACCACTATGAAAGTAGGGTGCCAAAGAAGTTTTTTCCCAGGTGAGCATCTGGAACAGGGAAGAGTTACTTTTCTCTCACCAAACCTGGTGTGTCTTGAAAATTTATTGACAGAGTCTATTCACAGCAGATAAATGTCTGCTTTGAAAAGTAACCTGGCAAACCCTATGGACATGTTACAAAAAGTAAATGATGAGAGGCTGCAGAATATGTATATTCAGTGTGCTTAATGAGCCAATGTTTAATCCAGTTTAAACTGATGGGCTACATATGTTTTAAACAAGGGTTGTTTTCTTCTGTTATTGCCTGGCTCATACCATCTCCACCATCATGGAGATCAATGTATGTCCCAAACATTCAAAGTTAGCATTTTGGCTTCATAAAGCAGATCTCATTTTCCATGAATTCAGTAAGATGTAATTCCCTGCATGCCCTCTGAAGCTACATCCCATTAATGAACCACCTAACAAAGACTTGCTGAAAGATGGTGTATATGTATTAGCTAGTATTAGTAATTTTCAGACACTGAAGTTTTTCAAGCAAAATTTTTTTCTGATCACCATTATGTTAAAAAATTGCTACTGGGAACTGGGATTTGTCATGAATTTTCTGATTTGAAAAAAATGTTGAACCCCAAAAGAGTTTCAAAATTGGCAAAATGGGATACTTGGCACTTTTAAATTTGATGTTTTTTCTACTTAAACTGATTTTTGTAATGCAAATAATTCATACTAAAAAAGTTATAAATATGTGTGAAAGAAAATGTTTTGATTAACCTATACTGAAAATTTGCTGAGTTTTGGTTCATTAAACTTTTCAAGCTTTTGAATTTTTGATCTGCTAAGAGTGAGAAAAAATATTTCCAGTCATATTTTTACAGAACAGAAAAAACGTTTACTACTCCTTTTTGTTTCTCATGGGATACCACCTGCACAAATTTTCTGAGAATATGAGCCAAGATCATAGGCCACGATCCACTAAATATGAGAGAATGTCTGAAGAGACAATGTATGAGACAGTTAAGAAGGATCTCATGGAGCAGGCTAGAGTATCTTGATTCTGTGGATGAACTGTGTCACTGCAAGTCCATGCCTTTACTGATTTATAGTAGCTAACATGATAAATAATATACTGGCTGAGAAATGGCAAAACACTTTGTTTCCAAAGCATCTCCTTCAAATGAGCACTGAATGGGATGATTAGTAGGTACAGAAAAAAATCTACATTGCTCTTTTATCACTAAAGATTTTCACACAAACTCCCCATCACACTTTCAGGGTAGAAAGTATACTTAGTTGCACCAGATTTCAGCTGATTTACTGCTATCCAAGAAATACAAACGAGCCAGCCTGGAAAAGGAGTCTGCCTATCTACGTTTTCCTCATACAATTACAAGATGCCATGAACTGAAACTAGCATTCTGCAACATAGCAAGCTTTGCAAACACGGCTGAGATAGCTGACTAAATGCAGCCAACGTATGGCAGCAGGTTATGCAGATGCAGTGATGCACAGTCCCATTCCAAATGCATGGTAAATTTGCGAAGTTACACTGTAGTCATCAACGTGTCACACAATAATTTAACATGTTAACATGTCACTGCTTTAACCACAAACCATGAGAATGATAAGGACAACATAAGAACTGGGACTATGGTTGACTTCTACATAGCTATTCCCCAAAGGCAACAGGTACAAAAGTTCGTTCGTGGTGTAACTGTGGAAGTCTGAAAACAGGCAGCAAAAATATTTTAGACATTAGGTTTTGCAGTAAGCTGCCTTGATGCATGCTGCCATGCTTCTGCCAGCTTCTTGATACAACTCATCATTACCAGGAAGGATGTATCTATATGAAAGACAGCATTAGAGACACCTAAAATGTCTCTTTTGGTCACTGACATTACCAGAACAGAATCTTACACGTATTAAAACATTCTTTAAAGCTTAAAAAAAAGCCATAATAAACTAAAAAGTTTTGAGCAGATAAAGGATATCTTGCCCCTCATTACTATATGCATGTTATCTAGTAGGGTCCCACAGTATATTTACTGACTTCCAGTGGAAAAGATGGCATGAATCCTGTCCTGAGGAACTCTCAGTTAGTGCCTGCACTTCAAATTTCAACAATTCGTTGCAATGTCCAACAAAGGACCTGCGCAAGAAGCCTGCTATAGCTTCAGTGCAGCTACTGTTTGAAAAATAATAATCCAAAATTTAACAGCTGCATTATGTATCTTATAAGAATGGCAGAAGAACAGAGTCTTTGCTTTTGGCCGATAGAGGAGTGAGGAAGGAGGAAAGAGAGAAATACAGATGGAAGGACATGACAAACCGCAAACCAAAATGTGAGACTGACTCATGTAACTAAAACTGCTGAAGCACTGTTCAGTGAAGGCCTTGCTGTGCATAAATCATGTAATGAAGTGCACATAAATATGAAATATTATCATTCACAATTACCCTGTAGAGCTTGAGACTGTACAAATCCAAACTACAAATAATTTAGACAGAGAAGTGGCAGAATAGTACTCTGCAAACTGATAAAGGATTTGACTGCATGGATATGTTGCTGAGATTGTAGTGGCATAGTACAAAACAGCTGCAATGTGAGTGAGTACAAAAGGCAGTTGAGAAAAAAAGAGAACTTCTCTTAACTACATACATTCTAACTGCCAAAGGAAAGAAAAGTATGTTTCTTATGTCACATTTGCACTACATTTGCTTCAAGGATAGGTTGTATATATCAGTGCTATATTGTCATAATGTGTTATAATTTCCATGTAAAAATTGCCCTGATGTATTTCAAAATGGTTGTGGAACTGTTGTACGTTAGCATTAGTGACTAAAAATAAACATGATTTCATGATGACAAATACCACTGCTTGTCATTAGTATAGCTGCAAAGATTGACATTTCATTTTGATTAACTGTATCATTCATTATAGTATGGTAGCACACAGGTTAAGAGAACAGAATGGAAAACACACCATGTTGCTTCAATAATACAAAAACTTACTGGATGACAAATATCTCCTTGCGTCTAAAGAAAAATGAAGAGTATCTGGAAGTAAAATCCATTAACACTTTAGTATATAAGCAAAATTAGTACTATTCTTATTCAGCTAACAGTTTCGAAACAAGGCCATTTTGAAGATCCATCAAGATCATTTATACGAGTCACAGTTATCACAGTGCATTGGCAATGGTTCTGTCTTCAGAGAATGTTTTCTGCTGTTATTAGCAGGTACTAAACAACGCTATCTGAATGACATGTGCCCCACACAGAACATACCACATCCATTACGTCGATGATTTCCAGATGATTCACAGTATGTTTTCTCATCTGTTACAAGCAGCCATTCCTGTGCGCACTATTTTGAACAGGTTTGTACATGCAATCAACTTACTCTGTACCACACACATGACATACACACATTCAAACAAAACAGGTCAACAGCTACAACCTTTCATCTTCCAGCTATTCCTAGTCTGCAACAGTAGGATGCCTGACTGCTAGGGCAAGACTATTTTAGGCTTCTCATCTTTAAGGAGACTGCCTACCACAGTGTTTCATCTGTGACACAGCAGGGAAAACACAGGCAGGTAAAGAATGTTCACCAAACATTTTTAACTCAGTTGGATGCCATATATTATTGAGAATCATCATTACATTTATTTGGTGAATAATACCCATATTTCTGGCAGTCAGAAAGAGCAGTGTTCCTTCTGATAAATATCTGTGACAAGATTCTTTGTTGGACAGAAAATATGAATTGCTGCCTGGAATTGTTGCATACACCTTAAAGGAGTAGATGTCAAGATAGCCAGTGTGCTGAGCTCCACGGAAACCCAGATGTTATGCAAACCCCTTTGTGAAAAAAACGCTTTCTAAATGTCAATTAAACAATGACAGATTTATTCTTGAATTAGTTGACCGGGACTTCTGGGAGTTTGACTCTTTCAAAATGCTTATGTAGGTTTGCAGTCTACACAAAACACTGGGCCATTAAAAAAACTCAGAAATTCTGCATGTTTAAAAATAGGTAGCCCTTTTTTTGCTAACACAATTAAACAGTGATTTGCACTTAGATCTTTATCTTGTTGTAAAAAGAGCTGAAGATTAAGTGATTTTCTAAAAGCTAGTGAGAAGTGTCTTGAGGATGGAGGTCATTCTTTGAAAGAGGATCTCACTGACCTGTGTAAATAAGAACACCACAAACACTTCCAAACAAGCAAAGGTCAGAAAGAGGTCATGGCTACAGCCCCTTTGGACTACTGTTTTGCCTAAGGAGTACGCTTACCGTGTAAATCTCTCATCCTTCAGCTCCAGGTCTGCCACTGTGATCAACTGATCCAGTTTGAACTTAGTGTCAATAATTTCAGCATCTCGTGGGGAGTATGTGCCTCCCTCTTTTTGCTTTTGCCGAATCCTAAACAGAAAATAATACTGAAAAATAAACGTGCAAAAGATTTAAAGACATATATGTCAATACTTTGATTAGACAGGCTGAAACTGAAAAATGGTTGCCAGAAATCCTTCCTTGGCCTTTATTCTGCTCTCCCTTCCAATAGTGTAATTTATTCAAATCCAGCAGTTACATTGTCAAAAATTCATATGGAAATAATTTTGCCTGTATATTCTTTTAGTTTTCCTACATAAATTCTTTGGCAATGCCTGAATGATGCTGCTGAGGAAGAACAGAACTTCTGACGAATGAGCAAACTAACATATATGCAGTACCCAGTCTGCTCCTTTACACGGGCATTTCTTCACAATTTGAATTTAGAGGTCGAATTCTCTTTCACATGTGAGACTCCGCTGTATTTAACTGATAAATTTATTAGTAAGAAAGAAAACAGAATTTAGAGTATTTACTTCATATCAAGCTGTCAATGGGGTTAGCCATCACGCTAACTTCAGCCAGCTGACACTCTGATCTGTACCCTCAGGTCAATAGAGGAGTGGCTCTGAAGGGGTAATATAGGCTACTGCTCTGATTTACCCTCTGGAGAAGTTGTTTTTTCTCCTTCATCTATGGAGGTTACCCTCACTAGACTAAAGCTAGCCTTTGTGAGTCCCTCCCTAAGTTTCTACATAAAAGACAAAAAAAAAAAAAAAAAGAAAATGCAATACATTTTGAAATGACAGATTGGTTCCATTTGCAGGACTGTTTCAACTCTTCTTTAAAACAGTTTTGAGTGCTTGCAAGCATGGTATGGCAAAGATACATAAATCTCACCTTGCAAAAGCATATACTGCAGCCACCAAAAGAACAACTGAAAGTATACATAAAGTAACAGCAAGGATAACTTCTACAGATCTTCCTGACAGTCCTTCACCTGCAACAGAAAGTGGAAACCTAATATTTCATAGATTCATTACAATTTTTACATTTCTGACAGGGTGAAATCAGGGACCGATGAGAGACAGTTCTTTCTGTAGAACTGCATCTGTTTTGTGTCAGTCGAAGAGCTGCCCAGGAAAGAAAAATATAACAAAACCAGAAACAAATTATTTAAAGGTTCCTAAACACTGTTGATCTATATAATATATAATGCTAATATATGTCTACAGCTATATGTGCAGCCATCCCTGGTGCTTTTCAGTTTTACCTGCTAAAAAGGTTAAGGTAGATCTACACTGCAGTAACACCAGTCTGAACACTAGCCTGAGCTGGGCTCCTGCTTCAGCCTCTCTGCAGCCAAGAATAGACACACTGCTCTGTCAGCTAGGAATAATAAAACTCCAGAAGTGGAAAAGGAAGAGCCACAACTCTAAAGTTATGAGGCTTGCAGCCATCACTCACAGGCACAAAATACTCTCCTCAGGGTGCTGAAGGAACCCACCTAGTGATCGGATCTGAACTTTCTGGATTAATCTGCTTTACTGACCATTAACTCATGCTCTTTATTTATGTGGGAATTGGTGATATTGTTATGGATAACCACCAGCAGGTCAAAAGTAATCATAAAGACCTTTATGATAAAAATGGTATTCTAATCAGTCCTTCCGGGTGAGAATGAAGGCTCATTCAGAGACTGATAAACTGATTAGTAGTTTCTAGACCTCTTTTCAAACCTTTTTGGTGCTAAATTTCTGTGACGCATTTAATTTCCCACCCTTCCTGGTAATCCTGCCCCTATCTCAAAAACCTCAGCCTCCTTCTTCCTTAGGCACACAGTGAAAATAAGAAAAGCAAGGGATTACTAATGCTGGTATTCTTCACCTATGTTGGTATTCAACTCCACCTTCTGATCCACTGTAGAAAACAGTTCCTGTCCGGCCTCCAGGAAGGACAGAAAATGTACTGCTTCCTGCCATACGAAAATGTGTGTCCTCCCAAGGACACACTAGGAAACACTGAAGTCTAGGCTTCATTTCTCTCAAAAGTCCCTGATTCTTGGATTAGAGAGTATATTGCAGATGATCTGTACTGCACGTACATTGGAGAACATGATTAAAATTAAAAATTATCCTGATCTAGCTGAAAAAATGGTCTTAAAACAGTAGGATGCAATTTTGTAAGATCAAGTGCATGGTTCTACACGTAGGCAGGAATAATCAGCTATAATAATACAGCTTATTAAAGAGTAGGTTAGGTAGCAATTTATCAGAAGAAAGTGTGAGGTTGTTGTAGACCAAAACATGAATAAGTATTATCATGCCTATATGAAACAACAGCCATAATCTCGTGATACACAGAAGTAGGCATAGTTTCCAAAACACCTGAAATAATTCTTCCACTGCATTAGTAAAGTCTCAGGTGCAACACTGGATGCTACAAGGTAAGAACAATTTAGGCCAGGGGAAGACAATAGAGAAGAAAAGCAAGTATATAGAAAACTGTTACAAAGAGAAAAGGAATGAAAAAGTCCCCGCCACTCACTGATTTCTGTGATAAGGTACAAATCTTAGTAATGTGGAAGAAGAACAGAAGAATTTCCAGAGGAACCTCTACAACAGTTCTATCTATTTTCCACCAAACAGTGAAGTCAATGTTAAACCCTACGGTTAACCAGTCCAAGCATTGCCAATGTTATTAAACAAAACAGCGCTGGCAGGATACTCACCAAGAATAAAAAAAATACATTTTCTCCTATTTTGCAACAGGGAAGGACTACATGTCTGTAGAGATGATGATGGGCAAGGAGAAGAACACAAAACAGAAGATTTGGCATAGTAGGAAAAACAGGTATTATAAAACCAGTATGCAGCACTGACATGTTGTATAATTCTGAGGAGCTGCCACTCAATACATTATGATAATAAAATACAATAATAGAATATCATAAGGTAGGTTTCTATGCAAAAGGCTGTGTCAGGAAAACCCATTTTGATTATTTCCTGTCTCATCAGCTTTGTATTTCACATGGAAAAAGTCTACACTTACACAGGACTACCAGCTGCCCCACAATGATTTGCTGAACTAGCTATCAGAGTTTATGAAAAGGGTATAAGCTGCCTTGATGTATTAGAAGTTTAAGCAGTATTTGTCACCACATCTTAATTATCTCATGGAAAAATCCTGACCTTTCATTGTAGTATGGACGTTACTTTTGCAATATCAGTCATGGGTTATGAGGAAGAAACTCCACTTCTCCAGCTCAAGAGGAGAATTGTGGTACTCCAAGTATGGTTGAGTGAGAGCGCCATATTAAAATGTATCCTTTACTATACTTAAAAAATCATTATTGCAGCTGTGTATTCCAATAATTTCTGCTTCAGTGTTCCTCCCTAGCAAAATTCCTATTGTTTAACAAGAGCATCTGACATCTGTCACAGATAACTCTCTCATAGGCTTTCCATATTTTTTTCTGCTTCAAACATATTTAACATGCAGTATCAAATTGCACAGATACAAGGTTAGCTTTGTGGTTTTCCAGATCAAAGACCTACCTATTAGAATCATAGAATCATAGAATCATTAAGGTTGGAAAAGACCTCTAAGATCATCAAGTCAAACCGTCAACCCAACACCACCATGCCCACTAAACCATGTCCCTAAGCGCCTCATCTACACGTCTTTTAAATACTTCCAGGGATGGTGACTCTACCACTTCCCTGGGCAGCCTCTTCCAAGGCTTCACCACTCTTTCAGTAAAGACATTTTTCCTAATGTCCTGTCTAAACCTCCCCTGGAGCAACTTGAGGCCATTTCCTCTCATCCTTTCGCTAGTTACTGGGGGGAAGAGACCAACCCCCACCTCGCTACAACCTCCTTTCAGGTAGTTGTAGGGCGTGATGAGGTCTCCCCTCAGCCTCCTCTTCTCCAGGCTAAACAACCCCAGTTCCCTCAGCCGCTCCTCATAAGACTTGTGCTCCAGACCCTTCACCAGCTTCATTGCCCTTCTCTGGACACGCTCCAGCACCTCAGTGTCCTTCTTGTAGTGAGGGGCCCAAAACTGAACACAGGATTCGAGGTGCGGCCTCACCAGGGCCGAGTACAGGGGCACGATCACCTCCCTCCTCCTGCTGGCCACACTATTTCTGATACAGGCCAGGATGCCGTTGGCCTTCTTGGCCACCTGGGCACACTGCCGGCTCATGTTCAGCCGGCTGTCAACCAGCACCCCCAGGTCCTTTTCCGACAGGCAGCTTTCCCAACGCAATTCTATAAGTACTTATTCTATAGATTCAGAAACCAAAATAATCTAGTCATGAATACCTCTACCAAAATTCAAATTAGTCTTTTATCTACTAAAATGAAAGTGTCATGTTGGAAAAACACAAATTTCAGTGATTATTACAAAAGAATTTCATTAATTTAAAATGAAATTACAATTCTGATCTCAGGCAGCATAAATTTCTTCTGAAAAGTAGTGCCAGATCCTTTCAGAATATTCAGATAGAGAATTAGCATTTCAGGATCTTCAGTATCAGATCATATAACAAATTTCTAACATGGATTAGATGAATAAGGGAGCTCATATCACAGAAGATGAATGCCAAATGAAAAATATGTGCCCACTAAAATTCTTCTGGGTACTCATCCAGTTCTCTTGGGATCCCTTTTCAGAAAGTCAGGGATAAGTAAGTTTTGGCTTACCAATATATTAAAAGAACTTACAGATCTTATTGCGATCTGCTACAAAAGTCTCCACTCACAATTTTGGGGGTAGATCGACACTGCCATGGAGGAATTTATGCTGGATTTGAGACCCCATAACAGCTGGCATATTGGCCAGTGACATCAGAACCAGATAGATTCTATTAGACAATATTAATTTATTAATTAATATGGAGCTTTGTCTGTATCTAAAGGATGAAGGGCTAAAGGGTCATGTCCTTAGATGAGCTGCCACTTGAAGGAATGATCTGCAGCCAACAGGTTTCCTACACTAGGCTCACTGCAATAGCTCTACATCCAACACAGAGGGAAACTCAGCCATTCTGGTTAAGATAGGTCCAATAAAACCAGAGGTTATTTAATTCAGGGAAACCACTCTAAAAGAAACATGGAATTCTCTAGATTCTTTGGAAATAGAGAAATACTTTAGTAAATGACACTCTCCTTACCCAAAGTTTTGACAGGGTCAGAATAGTCAGAATCTGTAAACTGTCCTTTAACATTAGTTGCTCTGAACTTAAATCTGTGAAATAAAACCAAGAAAACTAATGAAATAAATGTTTATGTGCATTTTCTTAAGTATTATTTAACTTAGAAACTAAAAACTATTTTTCAGTTTTAGTATAATGTAAGCTGGAATCATTATTCACCTGCTAAAGTGACGTTATGACAGACACCAAGGACTCAGTGTCAGTATCTTAGATATATAATCAAACTATATGAATTACTTATCTTGAATTTGGGCTTATTTAATTTAAGAACTTAGTAAGCATCTTTTATTACCTGAAACTTTTTAAAAAATTTGTTTCCCATATTTATGCTCAGCCAAAAAATTTAAAATTAGAGACACATGAAGATCATTTCAATCTCTACCTTTTCATAATTGAACTACACATTTTGTATGTTTGTATAAATGTATACTTCACTTAAATCTTTCTCTTGGACAAACATAGAGACAAATGTACTTACAGGTATTGCTTTCTTGGTTTCAGTGGGCCATTACATATTTTGTCTTGACTGCCTGGAATCATACATGTAGTATCAGCACCTATGACATATATCTCTTCTTTGCCACTCAGATCTTCTTTTCCTTCTATACATGGTGGGTTTGGAAAGCCTTCATTTGTAAAATACGGCCTCGGTCTGTTGAAGTAGGCATCATACCACTTAGTAACATTACCATCATGCTGAGCTATTGTCAAGAAAAGAAATAATCAGAAACAATTTAGATTCTAACCAGACTGTAATTAAAGAAGTTAAATAGCAAACTAATGTTTTTAAGAGCTTAGCATGCCATCGGTGCTATTTACACGACTAAGTCTATAACTGTATTTGCACTTGAACCCAAATTTCCTTATTATCCACACTATCTATATTTTGCTAACTCAGAGTAAGTCAGCTGAATCACAACTAGAAAATTTCAGGGGCAGTCTCGCACATGAGCTCTGCCTGTAGAGGATATCACTTGTGCAAGCCACTTGACTTTGAAACTGAGCATGGCTAGCAAAGACAGTAAAAAGTGTTTACTCTAAAGACAGTAAAGACTGGTTCGTAAATGAAATTACTAGATTTCCATAAGTGGATAGTACCCAGCAACTCAAGAGAAAAATCTTTAAAATGTTGCTTAACATGATATTTGCATATCTACCAGTTCAAGAGAATCTTCACAGCAATAGCTACGAAGTAAATGTCTGTAGGATTCGTGCTAAAATGCAAAATTCAGAAAAAGGTGAGAAACTTAATGTGAATTCACTTAATGTGAATGCTTTACTTCTATACTTTGAAAGCAAGCAAAACAAGGGAATTAAATACCTGGACTTTGTCCTTCTTAGGTACAGTAAGCCTGACCACATGATGCCCTGTCATGAAACTCCCACACACAATGGTAGGCAATTACTCAAAAGAGTATCACGGCACTGTTCATATGAGTAAATGTTCATCAGTCCGTACGAGGGAATACACATTCTACCCCACAGTCTACAGGAGGGATTTATATAAATCCCTCTGCCCCCGTTATGAAATGGAAATATCAGCTGCACATGACTGCATTCTTTTACAGGCAACACTAATAGCAACAGAAGAAAAACCTTACAAAAAAAAGTTTCAGATTTATTTACCTTTCACATATGCCAAATGTGGTTTTTTTCCAAGGAAATAGGAAATAAAGAAAATATAATGACAACAATAGGGCTAGAATAATAGTGGTGACTTCAAACAGCATGGGTGACTCTTTGTTGGCAAGTGTTCCCAAAATCCAGTACCCAGCCCACATGTATTGTGAAAGATACCTTGCTCTTAGTACTGTTGCCACAGCTAAAATGACTTTGTTAGCTGTTTTCTAACGTGAAATTACTGAGACCCAAGAAAAGAAATAAAAGAGAAAAGAAAAACAGCCTGAAAATAAAGAAATTTTAAAAACCTGAAAACAATTTTCAAGAGAACTTATAAAATTCTACCTCCGGCTTCCACAACAAGAACTTGTATCTTCTTGATAGGGCCATGATCATCACTGTAGTAACATATCGGCATTCTGATCGTAATTGTTGTAGCTGTGACGAGTAACGCCCCATTGGTATCATAAACTGGTGCTGGTTTCTTTTTAGGTCGTGGTGGTTCTGTTTTTAAACAAAGATATACCACAGAGTTTTATTTTAAAATGTTTTCACTACAAGTACATTGTTCAGGCACATAGCTGTTATGCAAGACAAATCTTCAGCATATTTTCAGGGACAACTTAATGTTCTACTTAATGCCTTAAGCCTCTAAAAACTGTATTCTGATAAATGCCTCTGCACATTGGTTTTCAATTAAAAGAGAAAACAATAAAAAGACTGAGTCTTAGTTTTTCAATGAATTTCAATCAATGATTGTATTTATTTCCACAACTGTGATACTGTATACTTATGCTATACCTCTGTGATATTCTTCTAAGCTGTTCGCTGATGGTAACTAAAATACTGAAATCAACATGATTACTTCACTGAGTCTGCACATTGTTTAAAGTATCATTCAAATATGAATAGCAAATGATCAGTGATACACAGAAAAATTGAGCACTGCAATTCAAGGCTATCAGTTATGTGCTCCTGCTCCTACATTATGTGGCCTCTAAATAACAAAGGCACACAGCTGTGTACTCACAGGTAGAACAGCAGTTTCTTCAGCATTTATAGAGATTTCAACTAAAGGGCACTTTATGAGACATACCTTTGATATCCATGGTTATTTTCAATTGAATTTTTGGCCCTGCACCAGCACCATTAATTGCATACACCTTAAAAAAACAAACACCTGTTTTAATGAGTATTTGCAATAGCTTCAAATTGGCCAAATCTGGATATATTTGAAGCAACAATGAATGCTGAAACACTCCTTTTATGCATTCACACTTTGCTAGAACTTCATATTTCTTTACAATCCTAAGTACAGTAACACTTTATCGCTTGCAATGTAGCTCTTACAAAAACGAGAAAAACAAGCCCACTTAAGCAATTATGTCGCCTCCTCTCATGTCCTAGTCTCTGATTATTTGAAAGGACTTCATGTACATACTTCTAGCAAGCTCCCCTTGCAGAACTGGACCTTTCCTCTGAGCCAAATGAGCAATGTAAGTGGCGGAATTAAGAGAGAGATTTAGTCTTGTACTTGTGATGATGTGTCACAGGCTGCTTTGCTAGCACATGAACTGGTGATCCAGAGTACAAAGCTAACCACTAGTACTGTATCCTGCTCCCACTCACTCCACCCTCTTCATTGCTGCCCTCGGTCCTCAGACTTGTCTCTCTTCTAACATTCTCAGAATAAAAATCTCATATTCAGCCTAGGTTTATGTTCCCTGTTCAGACTAATCTCTCACTCATAACAAAGAAAAAGTCCAAAGAAAAAGTATCAGTTCTTACGCTGACATTATAGGTGTGTCCTCCTTTTAGTCCTTCTATCATGGCAGTGACTGACTGATCTGTTTTATCAATGACACTAAGGTTGTGGATCCGGATGGCAGCGGGGTCATCTTCATTGTAAACCATAGCTTGATACACCTGAATATTTCCATTTGGTTCAGATGGTGGCACAAATGTTACTTGGAACTTTGTTACTTCGTCTGGTATCTTCTGAAACGTTATGTTGTTGGGTGGGTCTTCAGGCACTGAAATAAATATTTCAATGATCCACTTAAATCTGTTTACTACTATTACTATTAGAGTAAAACCTTAAAAATTACAAATTATATTTTTGCACATCAGTATTATTTCATTGGTATTTTCTGTTTTTACTAAAAACATCTCAAATACTTATTGCATACATAAATATTTATAAAGACAATAAAAAGTTAAATATTTAGTGAAATATTATTCTTAAGGATAGCATTTAATGCTGCAAATATTAAAAATAATTATTAGATAATCCTCAGTAGTTTCTACTCAGAAGAGTTTCTTCTGATTTTCTACTCAGAAAGCCTGAGGGCATCATTATATCTTGTAATACATCTGGGGTAAACAAATCCTTGCATGGGCTGACAAGCAAGAATCAAGTGTTAGTCTTGAGTATCCCTTTCTGAAAGCCCTCTGTCAACAGCAAGCTCCCTCTCAACATATAAACAAGCCACCGTGCTCCTAAGAGTCTCTGCTTATCACAGCTAACTCTTTAGGAAAAAACTTTCCACTAGCCGATGCCCAGACACAAACACAACATGCATTTTTCCCAAAGACAGTTTTTTGTCAAACGCTTATTCCAGTAGCTTATTCTCAAGACAGCAAAGGTATAAATCATTTTCCCAATGTCCCTGTCTGAAAGAAAAGACTGTAACATTCTTTCCAGGCAGCTAAATATTTATTGCTCTACCTGAGCAGACAAGTATGTAGCGTGACCTCTAAGTAGTGAAATCAGGCAACTGAAGGTAAACACATTCCCTCAGCCAAGGATTTAGATGCAGTTGTCATACCTTCCAGGTTTTTTACACCAGCCAAGAAATGCTTACTCAGGCTTCTCTGGAGTAAGTCTATGTAAATCGGTCCTTACTCAGCCATATGCTAGGCTGTACAAACCAGATGAGACGAGATGGAAAAAATAACTGTTCTTCTCTGAGGTTACTGCATGTCCTAATGTATCATATTTTTACATAAGAGAAAGGGCTACGAAAGAGGATACCTCATAGGACAGACCCAGCTACCACCTAATTTAATCTTCATTCATTTTTCCACAGTAAAAAACAATATCAGCCTCCAGGGATATAAACAGGTCATGAAAACCTTAGAATTTAATGTATTAAAGGCATTAGAAAGATACAGATATATATACACACATTCATATCATCATCATCGTATCATTAGGGACACTGGATTTTCATTCATCAAAGGAAAGACAAATGATAAATACAATCACTGTGTAGTATGCCTAAATCTGAAATTAACCTGAGTATATAGCTAAAAAAGCTGACCTGCAGCTAACCTCACTAGAGATAAGGCAATTGTAGTTTATACACAGTTGATAATTAGTTTGAATGAAACAAAACTTCAATATCTTTTCAGAAAATATTTTTTTGTTGTTTTGTTTGTTTGTTTGTTTAAATATCCTTAGTGAACAATTCAAACCCAGCAAAGATAGTAGACAGAGCACAACCAGGAACTATGTATGTAAAGCTAGGACTATATCTTCCCCATGTCCGTCTGTTTCTATTTTCCTAAGCAAATGCTATCTACTTTTCTGTAATGTAGCCTCTAAGTCCTTGCACAGTTCCTCACTCTCATCTCTCAGTTTTATTTCTCTGAGTAATTTAATAGCATCAGCAACTTTTGTCACCTTAGTATCTACCTCATTCTCCAGATTGTTTTGAATCTGTGGAACAGCTGACTCAAGACAGATCCCTGTGGGCCTTCACTAACAATCTCCTTCCACTCAGAATACACAGATTGTGTCCTCAAGTCAGTACAGGTATGCTTTATAAACATTAGGATTCACTTCACTTTTAATTTTTATATGTTTAAATTTTGCATCAAGACCAAGGATGTTGTATATAGAGTTTTCAATAGTGTCTTAAGGGAAACAGGCACCTCCACAGGGGAGAGTCATCCGTTCCTAAGACCGGTGTCTTACATATACATGCTAATATAAATAGGATCTCTCTTCATTGACTATAGAAGTAATCTAGATGGCTGTGTTCCACACAGCCATATTTTACATGAAGCAAGTTAAGATCTCTGCATTACTGAAGGTAAATCCTAGTATTTATTATCACCATCACTTTTTTTGTTGACTGCCACCTTTTTAAATATTAAAGAAAAAATATTGTGAGAACGAATCTGCATTAAAAGTGCACCATGTGTTCAAAACTCTAATTTATTTGTCCGATGAAGGAAAAACTGCAAAGTTTGATCCATGTAAAGTAGAGAAAAATACAAACCTGCTTCAAAAGTGGAGACAATTACTGGAGAACTAGCTTTGCCTTCAATAAGTGCAGCATTAACATCCCCCGTAAAGGCAATGATTACTACAGAATACCTTGTAAATGCTTTTAAATCAGAAATTTCTAAGACTTTACCCTCATCATTTGTCTTCAGAAACTGAGCTTTATAATTGTCATTATCTACCTGTAAAATAATAATAATAATAAAAAAAAGATTACAAGACTTGAAACAGCCAAAAGCAGGACATTATTATTTGAACACCTTATTTAACTTTTATGTTTCCACTTTTCTAATCATTTACATAAAAGGGTTCACAAGAAGTCTCTAGCTACCAAGACTAGAAAGCTGCACAGGGGAGTGCACGCTCCCATCTCACCCATGTGTTGCCTCTTTAGCACTTCACATAGTATGGGATTAAGGAAATGGGCTGTTTGCTTGGTGCTGTCTTCCACCAAGCAAACATGAACCATTTGGTAGACATTGGGCCAGGGGAGCTGCAGTGACCTGAAATGGGAATCAAACTAGGCAGAGATCCAGAAGATGAGCAGCTATATAGCAGAAAATTGTTTGGAATAAAAAACAAAAAGAAAATTGGGCAGCAATATATAATGTTGATATGACTACAGAAAGTGCAATTCCTCTTGGGATATATTAATAGAGGCACTGCTTATAAGATAGTGGGGAGGGAGTAATCCTCTCACTAGAAAAGCTGGAAAGCAGAAATAATTGGGGTTCAATCTGGAAAAGGGAGGATGGTGGAAGACATAGTAATAACTTCAAAATATAAAAAAGGATGTTACTAAATTGAAGATAATCCATTGTTTCTATTGTTCATGAAAACACAAATAGAAATTTTATTTGCACCAAAAAAGATTAGAATTAAATATTACCAAAACTGCAATGATATACCTAAATATGTAAGTAAAACTATGACTATAAGTTTAGTTAAAAACTAGAACAGTCTATTGAGGGTTGCCAAGCAATTTTCAGCACTCGACATTTTTAAGAACAGGATAATGAATCATTTGTGAGGAAGACTCTAAGTACACTTGTTTCTGTGTTAGAGCAGGATATGGACTGGATTACTTCTTGGGATCCCTATCATCCCTACATCTCAAATAATCTGTAGTTCTGTAGAAAAATCTACAGTGTTGGGCTTTATATCCAATTAATCAATTCTAATGTTAGCTTAAAAAAGGAGAAAAAGGAAAAAATGGGACTATTTCTAGTGTTTGATCACGTATCATTTACAAAATTCTTTTCATGTCTATTCCTACTACTTCAGTTAATGATGTTTTCATTATTGTTTCTTCAGTGTGTAATTTGAAAAGAGGATTAGGTAGCTGTACAGTAGTTTTCCCACTGGATGAAATCTGTATTAAATGCAGCTGCTAAAACATTAGAATAGTTCAAGCATACCTTTTATTTGACAGATACGCATCTATCCCCACTGAGAATTAACCTGAACTAAACTTTCTGATGGACTAAACAGACATTCATTTCCTGGGATGGCCATGAAGAGCTGAAACACTTTTTCCTATTTGACTATCAAAAATCTGGCATATAAATATTTATACAAGAGCTAAAATACAATCACAGTACTACATAATTAAATTTATTTGTATTCTTCCTGAAATTTAATGGTTCAGTTCCATCTTCCTTACTCATTTTCAGTAATATTTTATTCAGGACTACTTCTAATTATAGTAGTCAGCAAGACAAACTAAAATATGACTTGGAGGTATAATAATGAGGGAGTACTTTTTAGTTTTTCTGATCTATAAAACTGCAAGGAACATCCTAGCAATTTAAACAGAACTCTAATACATTCACTAATAAATACTAATTACTACCTTTTAAGAATAAAGACAACACAGAGTAGAAATCTGAAATTATTCTGTTCTGTGAGCCTATTTTTATAAATCCTTGAAGATACTCAGTTGAGAACTAAAATGAGTAAAGTTACACATATAGGAAGTTTGTGGAATTTGGAGTCTTCACAAAAATTTTCCCACTGGGACAATAAAATATATACTCAAATTTTCACTGAAAAAGATTGTGACAGCTTTATTGGCCCTTAAGAAGGAATAGATTTGTCTACTAAGATGACTATCTGCAGAACTGATCCCTGTAGTTATTGATCATTAGACAGACAACATCTGATTACAAGGAATCCCTAAACATAAAGCTAGATATCTGAAATATATTTGCAAAAAAACCCACTTTGTAAAAACAAAACCAAAGACCTCCAAACTGAACATTTAAAACAGGTTTTTAAGTTCCTTCCGAATGCTGGCAGGCTCACATGAAACATTCCGTAGTTCATCTTACTTTAGGAATTTTACTGTAACTTATATTGATAAGGTATTTATAAAATTTTCATAGTGTAGTATCAAATGACACCCTGTTTATAATTTAGGAACTATCAGACAAAGGAGAAATTGTTTAAATACAAATTGATTAAATATTCCTTCAAAAAAAAAAATCAAGCTTTGAAAATTTGGAAGTTTTATTAAAAGAGTGAGAAGAATTTTTTTCTGTTGATGCACTATAATGCTGTTTAGTCAAAAGTGACAGGAACTTTTCACAAGGAAAAAGTCTTCTCTAACTTCAGTAAAGGAGCAATAAAAATTGTTATGTAGTTTCTAGCAACCTACCCAACAGGCCAAGGAACCATTTCTTCCCTGTTGGTATTCTCCCTGTTATTGTACATCCTTCATCCTGTCATAGTACTGCTGTGGTAAGTGTGTTCAGAACTGAACAGATTGCACTCTACATATTGTACAATGAAGTTAGAGGAAGAGAAAATAGCAGGACTACACATTAGTCTCCCTTGTAACTTTACTGAGGAGCTTAAAAATATTTGGTATTTTTTTACTGATCTTCTTAGAAATTTTGATTGCACAAAAATCTCAGCACTAGTATTTTAGCATATCTGTAATTCTTATGACCGATTCAGAAACATTGAAAATATACACATAATAGTCTTACTCTCTTCTCAGAAAATTGAAATAACTTTTTATTTAAAGTCTTTAAATAGTTTGAAGTAGTTTTTAATTTTTTTTTCCTACTATCTAACAGACTGAAGCTGCAAACAGCAAGTTTTCCTGGGTAAAGTCTGGTAAACTGCTTCCCATTTTCACTGATAGCCCTGTCTGTATAATTTCTGGAAGAACAGGGAACCTATATCCTCCTTAAAACTTCTCATGTGCTTGAACTTAGAAAGTTTCATATCTTGCCACAGGGCAGGAAATGAGGTTTATTAACGGTTGTTTTAAGGAGTATTATAAGGGTAGTAGAGGATGAAAAGAGAAAGGCCACTAGAGCTTTTCTCTTATGTCAGCCTTTTTTTGCTTATAAAGATCAAGGAGAAAGAAGTGTTATTGCTGTGCTACCAAAATACAGCTAATCTGATGGACAGAGCACCAAGTGGAAAGTGGGAAATTTAGTTTGACTTTAAAGTTTGACCTCTGATGCGCTGTGTAATTTTGTATAAGTCACTTCCTTTTGCTAGGCTCTCCACTCTGGTTTGTAAAATCATGACAATGAACTTTTCCTTCCTTTGAAGAAAAAAAAAAGTCATTATTATTTTTACTGGTAAACAGCATCATTATTTTTAGAAGGTGGTACACCTCCTTAAAGCTCAGCTACTGTTTTCCTGTATACATTTATAGCTACACTTTTTTTTTCTCCAAAACCTCTTATTAGCACACATTTTTTAATAACAAGTAATTAATTTATCTCCCATTAAGAAATTTATAAATGTACAATTAATTCTTATGTGGAGTTTACGTGGAAATAGGCACAGTCATACTGTTTTTCAATCCAGTTTATGTCTGTCTGGTAATTTCTGTAAGAACATCTGCTGTGGTATTTATATCACCAAACTTCTGTATTACTACCAACAATAAAACAGAGTTGCCTTACTGAGGTAATGTTTATGAGGTAGCATGTTGGTCCAGTAATGATGACAGGTTTACTCCAGCTGATATTAATACTGTGAGAAGATGTAGCTAAAACTGTCACATTTTCTGGAGGACCGTCTGGAGCTGTAGGAAAAAATATGTATGTGAATCATGGCCAAAGAAGTTCACAACAAATAACCCAGTAATTTTAGTGGCCAGTAGAGATTTTTTTCAATTTGAAAATAAAAATTTTTCACACATTTACCATTATACACTGCTTAAATAATTATAACATTTTTTCCTTCTCATATAGAAAGCATACAGCGTGATTTAGAAACACATCTTTCATTGAAATTATTACAACTTTTCTAGAGTATGAACTGCCTACAACTTCATCTTAAATTGAAATTACAGGGTTTTTTAATTACAAGTTATTTATATGAATTTTACATGACACAAGCAAAATATATACAACTATTTAGACAAATAGACAAGCATAATATACTTATTTATGTCAAACAAATCATTCAAAGAAATTGTGAAAACACAAGATCTACTGCATGCTAGAAAAAATTTCCAGCAATGTTGGAAAATACTAGTACAAATAATTTTATAGAGGAAAAAAATATTTTCTAGGTTTCATTTCAACTTATTCTTAACATATTGAGAAACTCTGAAAAACACACACAAAAAAGTGATAGGAATTGTAAGTGGGCAAGAATGTTCACATTAAGAAATGGGATTTTCCTAAAATTTCCTTTTGTCAAGGGGATATGTGAATTAACCTAGTTATTTCTTATTCATGAACAACGAATTAATGAAATCGTAACAACAACACAGCAGTTCGCAGTAAGCGGTATTACTTTTTCATAACGACCATGGTTAATTTCAGGAAAATAAAAATTGGAATAGATTTGTAGATAATGCCAGAACTTGGCTCCATGGCGCCCTTTTTTTTGGGTCTACTACAAAAAAAGACAACTGTGATACGTATCAGTGAACAGCCTGTTATAGACGCAACAACAGATTTGTACACAGTTCCAGAACTTGGCTTCATGGTGCCTTTTTTTTACCTACCACAAAAAAATACAACTATGATTAACACATATCAGTGAACAGTCTGTTACAAAAAATGATAAAAGTGATCACATCTATCCTAATCAGAAGACATAGCCTCTCTTCTCAAACATGATTAATGCATGAATATGTATTTTTTCACCATTAATTATTAGGTAAAAGGGCTTAATGAGGAAAACTGAAGTGTATACAAGGCTACTTTGTTAGGTAGAAAACAGGTTAGGAAAAGGAAAAATAGCATGGAAGGAGGTATGTAGCTATTGAAATTGTGTGAAAGATTAATGAGGAGAAATCATAAAATTTTGCACTGTGAAGGTGAAAATTTTGCATCATGGTTGCAGAATAAAACAGGAAGATTTGGGAACTGATGAGGTGCTATGAAGAGTTTAGGCTGTTGGATATAGGAGGTAAATTGCTGTGCTGGAATTAGCAGGAATATACTAGACTTTGTAGGCAGGATCAAATTCAACCATTGGAAGCAGTCCCCAAAAATACTGAATAGCATGGATCAACTGAGTGAAGAGTGTAACTGAATGAACTATGAAAGCACATGAGGGGTAGTGAAAGAGGAGACTGCTCAGAGAAGGCTGGCTGTTGAGTGGGGTGCTGGAACAGATATAACAAAATGCAAGGGCAAACATGTTCCCTAAAAACTAGAATTAGTGCAAATGAAGCTTATTTTGCCGGTATGTGTGTCAGACTTGTTGCTCAAACAGTGTTTTTTAGTGTGAACAATGCTTTCAGTAACTATGGCAGTGGTATTACCTTTATTGCCCCCTGAAATTTCTGAAAAACAGTATAAAATCTATATAGCTTCTCAAGCCTTAGTTTCCAAACCAACCAAGTTTCCAAAGACAATTTTCCATTACTTTTTTATAGCATTAATGGAGCGATTAGTCTCTCAATGTTTTTTTTCAGAAGCCAGTTTAGGTTTACACATTAGACAATGATGTGTGAAATAATTTTAAAGCATAATAATCTAATCTACAAATTATCCAACCTGAAGTTATTTATATGGATAATTTACATATGCAGTTCATATTTGATACATTTTTAGATCTTTTCAAGAAAATTCTAATTGAGTATGCTGTATTTAAGATACTTATCTAAAATAAATCTAAGTGTTAATACCTGTTTTATTTTCATCATGAAAAGTACAGTATCAGACATTAACTGAATGATACTGAAATTTAGGAATATTTTCTGAAATAACCTGTATAATTAGAAAGAAAACTAGAAAATGAAATGTGTCTAACATGTCTCATGTCTTACAAAAACCATCTTTTTAAAAACTGTGTTTGCTTCAGTGGGTAACTGCCACGTTCTGATTTAGGTTTGTTTGTGAAATGAATCTAGTCAATACGAGGCCATGATATCACTATACCCTTTCTCTTATAAATCACAGCAATTTACTCAGTAGAAATGACCTAGTCTTATTCTCTCATTCCCCCATAATCCAATCACTTCCTCTCATAAGCACTTTTCTCCTGGTTTTCACAATAATGCATTTTCTGTAACTAATAACCATCATTTCCTGATTATCATGCTTCTATCCTTGCACAGGAATGTGGGTCTTATGGAGGTCAGGGTCATCTTTCCCATCCATCTGTGTCCTGATGCTAAGGCAGCAGTTAAGTGTGTTAGCTTGAAGATAAGTCTGGATAGCCCATCATTTAGCATAATCCTCAAAAATAAGACTGAATACTCCAGTCTTCTAACAGAAATTCAGGCTTGCCAGTTTGGTTAAGACCAGCCCTTTTTTCTTCTTCCCAACAAAAATTAAGTGTGACGTTCAGTTATTTAATTCTATAATCACCTAAGTTACTTTTATCGATATTTAAACGTTTATATCTTATATTAGGCCATATTTACTTTCCAATATTTAGTTCTGAGAGAATGAAAAGAACAAAGAAAAATAAGCTCTCTCAGGCAAAACCTGCCAGAAGAAAGGGCATACAATAACAGATGCAATATTATTGCTTTTCACCATATAGAAACATTTCTTTAAGTATACCAAGCAACTGGGTATCAGCAGGGATTGGGAAAGAAGGTGCTGAAAAGAGGAGCATAACCCTCTGCCCCATGCATCTATGTCCTTGCTTTCATGGGACATTCGAACATCTGGGATTTTCCTTTGTATCTCAGTATATCCTGGCATTAGGAGACTTGGCAGTTTACCAAAAAGCATTGCATTGTGTAACTGTACAAGATCCAAAATGAGGTCAGTGATCTCACTGCCATTCATTTTCCACCTAACACTGACCCTCCAAAGTGATTTTTCTCTTAGAAAGCACAAGTTTGGCCAATCTTACTCTCCTTACAGATGTAAAAGTGAAACTCAGGCTAAGTGCAGGTGTGAGGGAACAAAGTTTCCCTAGCTATGGAAAACATTTCTTGCCCTTTCCCTTGCTGTGACACAACACTGTGATCTTCTCTACTGGTAACTATATAAATCTAGGTTATGTTGAAAATATTTCATCTTGCAGAGTAGATTTGGCTCTTGGGTAATCCATCAGCTAAGTAATAACAGTGCCATCAAACTACTTTATGAGACAGTAGGACAATTCCTGTGAGGATAATCTGCAAGACAGAAGGCTGAATAGTTTATCTGTGTGATGTGAGAACTGGACTGTACTGAACGCCCTATAACATTTTCCACGGAGTAATGCTATAACCACTTTCAGTACAGAACACTGCCATTATTTTTTGCTTGAAACTTGTAAATGAGTCAAAGAATCTTAAAAAAATTCCTGTAGCTTTAAATTTACCTTCATAATGAATAACTGAAATAAATAGCTAAGATCCTCACCTTAGTCACTGGATATTCAGAATTATGAGGTATTTCTGTTTTAACACAACAGTCAAATCCTCAGCAATTATAAAGAATACTTAGGGGTTTTGTTATGTAATTTTTGGTATTGTTGAAGTATCATCTCTTTATATTCTGGGAACTTAGTCTAACAGTTTTCAGCTTAAATGCAGTAACTTTCTGAATATAATAACTATAGTATTTTCTTTAGGCTTGAGAGAAACAAAAATTTCTGAGTATCCAATTATTTCTGAAGCAAAATAATTTGACTGTTATTTCACAACCAAGGTAACTTGCCTTTTGGCAGAAGCAATGCCTTACAGAGGCATTTCTTGAAAATCAGAAACAGTGGCTAACTTCTGCCCTCAAATCTGCAAACGCAACTCGCATTGATTTTATGGGCTAAGTACTCAGGCTATTTTACATAGCAGCTAAGCACCCTTAAGCCCTAACAGACCACGTATATTGGCTGTGTACCAGCAGGCTAATCCAGAGGATGCTTGGCCCAGTCCACGAAGGAAAGGAGAGGGGGATCGACACCTGTTCTCTGGATACACTCCGCAAGGCGGCCCAGAGTGCCGGCTCAGTTTTTTGTGCATCCTGAATTTCTCTTCCCTGCTGCAGGCAGTGCCCTTTGCAAAAGAAAGAGGGGAACTAAGGTTTTTTAGTCTGTTTAACAATATTTCTAAAGACTAGTCTTTGGAAAGTATAAGGTCAGGTAGCTAGAGACCTGCCCTTGCCAAAGATCAGCTGCTGCTCAGGGCAGCTCTTAGTGCTGCTGAAGCACGCTGGAGCTGCCAGCTGGCTACCCAGCTGTGACGTGTCGCGTTCCTCTCTTTTAACTCCTCAGCTGATTGCCATTACCCCAGGAAAAAAAAGCACCCAGCCATGATATCTGGAATAGTGCCCATGCTTCCTTGACTCCACGGTGGTGTGTTTTATAGGCAGCTCATCTCTTGACGTATCACTGATTTAGCTCACAGGAAATTTGTCGCTGCCCACTTCCCTCACCACAGACACAGGCCAGCAGCCCCCGACACTTGGGCTGGAAGAACTGGTGGAACTTCTTTAACTTCTACCCCACCACTGTTTGTTAAACTAGCTAATAGAGCACACAGAGGACCTACTGCTGAGAACGACACTGTATTGGCATGGAAAGGGCTTGTGCAGTCTAATGAGATTTTTATACTTTTAACTACCATCTCCTCAGCGGGACTGATAGGAAACTAGTTCTCTCTTAAACTAAATTATCACTGTCCAGAGAGGAAATCATAAAAAGGAACTTAACTTATGTGATTATATGTGTTTTGATTATCTGCCTCTCTGTCCAGTTTAAATCCCTAACTTTCCTAAACTCAGCAACAATTTTTTGAAGATAAGTATTTGCATATGTCAGCAGCTGAGATCTATCCATCTAGTAGTAAGAAATCTCCCCAGAGCTGTTGGCTCAAGAGTTGCACAAATTCTGTCAGCTATTTTCTGCTCCATCTGGGGTTATATTTTTGGGGTTTTTTTCCCTTTCATTTAAAATATTGCATTAATTTACAGGCATAGCATCCCCATAAGAACCACTGGACAAAGAAAGTAAGTGCACATGAGAATGACTCTGCAGCTGATGCCAGTATTTCTCAGTCCAAAGGACTGCTTCTGTGCTTTACGTGAAAAATGGGCTGTGGTGATGTTCCCTATCATGGTGTCCAAATCTCTTTGCCCTTTGGGGCTTAGAATTTCTCTATTGCAATTTCTCATCTGCAAATGAAGATGACAATATTTCCTTATTTAGTAGAAAAATTGTGATGTATTTAAGGATAGATGGCTGTATTACTGTGTAGAGAGTGCACAGATACTATGAGGAGCATTATTTAAAAGCCTCCCGGATTCACATCACATGATTGTAAAAACATGAATGGAACAAAATAAGTATGTGGGCCATTGAATAGTCCTTGGTACACAGTCCTTGGTACCTCTATTATGATTACTTTGGAAGGGGAAAAGAGTGAAGGAGCTGTGATTTAGTCAGCCCACTCATGGTGGTTCTCAGTTGTTCTACAGGGGCCAGAGGCCGGATCTCAGATGTGTTCTCACCTAGGCTGGCTACAGACTGGGAGGGAAGGTCATATGTCAACATGACAACTTCCTAAATAATTTATGTTTCATGTCCCCTTCTCTCAAATATCTAGCGATGACTTATCTATGACAACTAACTCTTCTCTTACTTGGAAACTGAAATCCTCAGCTGAGGCATGACAGTCCTGTAGGTGTTACATGGCTACTCTGATTTATAATCTCTTTAGGTGGGTATGTTATTGGAAAGAAATCTGAATTCCTCTGAAACTATTGCTTAAATTCTATTGCCAGGAACGTACAGCAGAATTTCAGGAAAGCGTTATGACATTAGAAAACAGACTTTTAGTCAAAGAATTAAAAAAAGGACTTTTCATTGACATACCCAACATGTGGAGATGGATTGAAAATGATGTATCAACCCAAAGTAGCCAAGATTCAGACTTAACAATTCTAGATGTGGAGCAGGGCTGAGGAATGAAATTGCTGTTGGGTAAGCAGTAAATATAGTAGAGCATCCAAAAGGCATTAAAATCTGAAGTAGTGTCAAGTATGCATACCTACCACATGATTTATATAAGATATTTCATGCAAGAAGAGTTGCAATAAATCCTTACTAACGTCACCAATATTGTAGGTCTATGAAGAAATAACTTCTACCAAGTCTTTTCACTTACTTAGGTGAACATCACATTGTTAAAGCATTATGACACATGGCAAACATCCTTACTTACAGCCAGGAAGTGTTTGCGTAGAAATCCAAGGTGAAGAACTGCCATAACCAACATTCGTACTGGCAGCCACTGCAAATCTGTACCATCTGTATTTTTTCAGTCCATACACTGTCTCTTCTATCTGGTCCTCCACCACATTTTCATATAAATATTGACGCATCTCATATTCAATACATTCCTTAGTTTCCCAGTCACTGCAGTGGATGGACCGTAGCTGTGTGGAAATCTTGTAGTTTTGAAAGTAGCCAAAGATAGATTTCGGTGATTTCCAATTCAAGGTCACGCTTGTTGATTGCACATTGGAAAAAACAATATCCCTGGGAGCACTAGGAACTACAAATGAAAACACTTGTAAGATATCTTCATTTGAATGAAAAGTGATTGCAACTATAACCCTTTTATCCAGTGTTGAAAAAATATTTTAATAAGCATGTCTAAAGACCAAGATTAAATTTCATATGGTTAATAAGGAGTAATTCCATTGGTGTAAATCACGCTGTACCTATATAGGTGGCGTACATTTACTATAGCTTTTGAAATAAAGAAAAATACTTTTAGGTGTGGCATGCAGGGGCAGCTTTCAGAGGTGTGACATTGCTGTTGCTACATTTGGGGCTATGTCTCAACTGGGGGAGGGAATATCAAGCAAAGTTATTTTTGGCCTACCCATAGCATCTTTTACTGCTGTTGCTAACTGGGATTCCTCACCTCTCACTTAGAAATACTCATTTGTCTCCCTCTTGGTAACATATGAAATCCTCAAGCAACACCTCAAGGTTTCATAAGTGTCCTGTTTCACCTTCTGAATGGAAAGTATCAATACATGCAATATGTTTGTCTATCTTTATATAAGTGCTTTACAAGCTGTTCAGTAAACAACAAATTAAAAGAACGCCAACAGGAAGAGCTAAATAATACGGCAATACACAGCAAAAACCAAAACTTCCCATAAGCTTTGCTTCCATGTATTTATATACATACGTATACGCAGGTATACACAGGTTATATTCATGTGTATGGATGTACATACGTACACATACCCATACGCACACACATTTATCCATATCTATATTAAGCCAACAGTGTACTCCCAGCTCTCGCAGGCTGGATGCAACATATGGTTTTGTCCTATATCACATAGTCATACAGTAAGCTAATATTATCTCTAAGACTCTGTAAGATAATACTAATACTCTCTGTGGCAAAAACTGTGCAGAGAAATCAGCTCAGAAATCATTTTGTGCACTTAGCTTTAAAGAGTGCTTTAGAGTCTTTGGGGGAAGAAGTATCACTGGTAAAAGAAAAACACATGATACATCCTCAAACTGAAACTGAAGAAGCCCCAAGGCTTACATAAAGAATAAAAGGATCCCAGACCAACGTTACTGGGGAAGAAAGAGAAAACCCTCCATTTTTTTCAGCCTTGTGGGAGTATCTGGTCTTTGCTTTCATCTGCAACAATTTGTTTATAAAAATCACCATAATATAACAAGCTGAAGCCTCTCCACTAAATATGAATATTTAACAAGAAATATAAATTCTAAGTCAAACCAAGCTGTGACGATGAAAAGGTTGAGAAATTCAAATCCCTTCAAGTGAGCCCAAAGCAGGTGGAGCCTGCAGGAGAGGGGTCAGCCACAGGAACCATGGGTGCTTCCCCTGTCCTTCCGCTCAGCTCTCACACACGCGTACCACAGCATGCGATAGCCCCATACACTCCCACCCTGCTACACACTAAGCAGACACAGAAAAAGAGCAAACTGTCTAAGAAAAAAATCTTCACTAGAGACAACTTCCATCAACATACTCCATACTATCAAAATTAAAGTTGTTTTGCTCTGTTGTTATTAGCATGAAGAGAAGTACAGAAAATAGTAAATAAAAACAAAACAGACAGTAACCTTCTTGCTTGATCACAGCTTTGGAGATGTAATACTCAGTTTGTCCACTTTAAAAAAATAAACACTGCAATATTTTCATAATAGCTCTATAAACTGTATTTGCTACTTGTGTAAATTACTAGGAAGGGCTTAGTTGCCCATTAGTTAATGGAAAACAAAGGCAGAGAAATGTTCAATGGTTACTATAAAAAAATCTGTATTTTCCCTTAAAAAATCCTCTACTCTACTGTATTTAAGTTATTAATATCTGTTAAGATACTGCAAAGAATATGAATCTTACACACTCAATTATGATGATGCTAAAATGTGAGATAGAATGGATAAAACTATATGAGTGAAGTAAAAGTTACCACCCAGTCTCACTCTGAACTTAAAGTATTTTTAAGACCCAATACTATATATTCCAGGAATTAAAAAATTAAGAGTCAGCAATTCCAAAGACATCAGAACAGATAAAAACTAAAAGAATTTAAGAAAATTCAATTCTCCTCCTTCTCACTCAGAGGGGATTACTCTTTTTTTAGATAAGGAGCATGACCTCACCTTCCCAGGCACACGACTCCAGGAATTCTTGCTGCGATAGGAGCAGCCAGCATTGGCAGGTTTGGAATAAAAGTGTGAAAGTATGCAACGTGGAGATGGAAACAACTGGCTCTAATATTAGTCTACCATTACTAACTTCCATCTGCTGAAAACTGATCATTGGACTATATTCCAATTTAAATGAAAGACTGGATCAAATACTGAAACAGGGTCTTGGAATAAAATGGACAGTAACTGGTTGCTTGTTGGGTGCCAAGAGGAAGGTGGAAATACATACCTTCACTTGCTCAAATGTGCAGCTGGTAGAGCCATGGCTGGCACAACTGCAGTCTCTGCACCAAAACAAGGCAGGTTAAAGAGGCTAGTCACAGGTAGAAAGAGCAGTGCCCATGTTCTAGCCAGCACAGTGGGCTTTCCTTCTCAAGGAGAGTACCCTGTTCTCCCAGTTTCAACCTGGATGATGCCATCAAAAAGAATTGAGAGCTAGCAATGTTGCAGTAAAGATGGAAAAGACGCTTGGCAGTTTCATAGAACTAGAAATGGTATCAGGAAAAGTAACAGTGTCTCTGATTTGTGGGCTCACACAGAACAACAAAAGTCTAATAAAGCCAGCCTCCATGAGCTCTCCTTGTATTTGGTGGGAAGAGACGAACTCCCAGAGAGCTGGGGAAAGAACGGGGTGCAGGAAAATGATGTTTCTCTTCCCATCTGTCCCCTAGAGAAGTGTCCTTTTTC